GTCCGGAGTGTCCAGAGTCGAGGGTGTCTGGGCAGAGTCGGTGCATGGGACGGGCTTTTGCCAGTCTGAGCAGATTGCCAGGCAACATATACATGAGACAGGCAGAATTGGTCAGCAATTTTATACGTGATAAGCCTCGTGCCTGTGTGTGTGTGTGCGATACCATGTTTACTATGTTGCCATGTGGAGAAGATTGTAATTTTAATCTTGTCGTTTGTCATTCTCAACACTTAAGACTTAGGAAGTAGGTCCCAACACGAAACAACTTCAGCTTGGTACGGACAGCTTCATGTTGGGAGCCAAAAACCGCAGTAGGGCCGTGGAGTTTGCAGTTCTGCTCAGCAGCGATTGATGAGGCTGAGGGTTTGCCGTGGTAGCGAGTAACAGTGAAGTGAGGATCATCGGCAGTAGTAAAGTACTTGTAGACTTAGTACTTCAGTAGATCAGTAGACTCAGTAGAAAGTCAGTGTGGTAAACAAGCTAAGGCAGCTAAGGGAACTCAATCCTAGAATCCCTAGAAGCCCTAGAATCCGCCAGACAGGACGGGATGTGGGGCGAGTACGACAGCCGCCAGAATCCCGTGGGATGCTCATGTCGGGTGGACCTGACACTGGTGCGGCTGGGCTACCCCCAGAAAACACTTCAGGAGGCGCACGAGCTTTTCAATGGTAAGGGGCCGGAGAGTGTGACCTTCCGAATCGAGGTGACCGCAGGGAGGGTCATTATCAAGGCCGCAATTGAAAAGGAGCTCATCCCGAAGCATCTCCCCTGCTCCTCTGTAGCGCTGGGCAAGGTTTACGAGGTCGAGACCTACTGGGAATTGGGGTTCCTCACGGAAAGTGAGATCGTCAAGCTTTGCGGCGTTTCTTCGAAATCCTTGAAGCTGCCCAAGTCAAGTACGATCACGGCCGAGGACGGGACCGGGCCGGTCAACGGCTGGTACGTGTCCTTGTTGGGCTTGGAAAGCAGCATCGCCCTCGGGATCAGAAAGGTCAAGATCAGTTCCAAGTTGAGGGTTGCCCAAGAGGACAAGCTCTTGGACCCCTCCTGGCAGATGAGGGCCCAGCAGGGGCAAGACGTGCTCAGCTTTGCTTTGAGCCGGCAGGTTGATCAGCGTCCGGGTGCCGAGAGGTGCAGTGGACGCTTGAGCCAGCAGAATCTCCAGAGCCTCATCGCCAAGGGCACTGACATCATCACTGCCACTTCGGCATTGAATTCGGTTGTGGGCTTATCGGCTTCTGCACGGCATCAACTAAATCCTTATGTCTTATGCCGCCTAACCCGCCGGGGCCTCACCTAACCTAAGAACCATTCTTCTTTATCAAAAGTTCTGCCTTTTGCCTCGATGGGTTGTGTGTGTGTGTGCTTCGGATGACCACTAAAGCACTAAATTCACTAAACATCTAGCGGTCTAGCGGATTCTAGTGATTCTAGTGGCTAGCGGCTTTCGAGGTGAGTCGGATAAGCCACTGAAGGATCCAAGAATCATCGTGAATATGTGGTTTGTTTTGTTTTGAGGAGATCTCCTCGAGGCTTCACATGCTTTTGGGTAGCACTTGGGTTGGCATTTTGTCGTCTTCAAATTTGAAGGTTTGCTCTGTTCGCACATGAGAAACCGTAACAATCTTGAGCAGACGGTTGAACCTCATGACTCGCACAGCTTGTTGCCAGGAACGACAGCAACGAGAGGTGTCGGAGCAAGCCGAGCTCGAGGAGGAGGAGGACAACATTGAGGATCTTGAAGCCGAGGACGACGATGAGGCTCCGCCAGGTGAACGAGATGATGCATCCACCATCGGTGGCAGAAGCAGAGGCAGCTTCGTGCCCATGGCGCCGTCTTTCAACTTGGGGATCTTGGCAGATGCGGCATTGCCAGCAAGAAGGTCCAGTGGAGCCAAGAAAAACAAGAAGAAGGCTGTGGCTGAGGAGGCTGTCTCCCTGAACGGCCGGGATGATGACGTCGACCAGCTCAGCGAAGGGGATGTGTGGCGGATCATCTCATGTGACGAGTTTGTCACCAGACTCGCCCGGGAGCTGGACGTTGCGCAGCCTTGCCTTGTGGGTCTCCTGCCCCAGCGAGTCTTCTTGGAGAAGCAGAAGGCTGGCAGGCAGCTGCGTGGTGCAACTCGCCAGAATGATTGTGAGGACGATGTTTGTCATGATTATGCTGGGCTTAAGGCTTATCGTCTTATCGACTGATTCGGATTGTGGCTTATGGCTCCACAGACCATATGAGTGTGAGGATGTTTGCAATTCTTTTCGTGAAATGGTTCTGGCACATATCGATTCTGGCTTATGGCAAAGGGCAGAGGGCACTAGTGGCACTAGTGGGCTAGGGCTATGCCTGTATAAGGCCTCTTGGAGGAAAAACCTTAGTGCCTTAGTGGTAATGCATCGTCGTTGAGCCTGCCAGTCATTTTCGAGTGATTGTAAGTTGTTCCGTTTGCCTTCATTGCCGCTGTGTCTCTCTCTCTCTCTCTCTCTCTCTCTCTCTCCCTCTCTCCTCTCTCCCTCTCCCTCTCCCTCTCGCTCTCCCTCTCGCTCTCCCTCTCCCTCTCCCTCTCCCTTTCCCTCCTCTCTCTCTCTCTCGCTCTCGCTATGCACTTCAACACACACACACACAACACACCTCCCCACACATGGCATTGTGCAAGAGCCTGCCATTTACCCGGTCTATATCTATCTCGAAGGTAGAACCTGGCTTCAAATTTCACCCAGCTACGTGACTTTCCAACCACCTAGAAAAGCCAACCTGGTAATGACATATGAGAAGGATGAACAAGGGAATGCACCTCTTCAGCAGCTTCATTGACAGTGCGGGTGTGTCTATTTGTAAACACTGTGGTACTTAGACTTAGACTGCACAAGACACACACATGCAGTCATGGCGTGGTATGTGTGTGTGTGTGTGTGTGCAAGGCTCGCACGATTCTCCAGAAGCTTCAGGAGAGGCGATCCGGCATTTGTGGTGACTTGGAGAAGCGGATCGGCTTGGTGGAGATCTGCCAGATCCTTGAGTTCAAGAAGATCAAGACGTTGCCCAGGGCCGAGCTGGAGAGCCACTGTGCGACCCTCGAGCAGTTTGAAGGTGAGATCCAGATCCCGCTCCGGATCCAGTTGGACATCTTGGAGTGCCAGATGGCCTGGGATTTTGCCGACTATTTCAATGCCGAGTCCCTCAGCCCAGCAGCTGCACGGGAGATGACGGACCGCATCGTGGAGCGGTTTTGTGCTTGGGGTCTGGATGGTGAGAATGAGGAGCTGCGTGAGACTCGGCTCACCGCGAAGGCCATCCTGGCGGCGGAGCACAAGCACCTGCAGGAGAAGGTCTCCCGCAAGGAGGTCGTTGGAGCTCCGATTGCTGAGGAGAAGGCTGTCTTCTACAAGGCTCAATTCGTGTCCATGTTTCAGGTGGCAGGTTTCTGTGGATGGCATAGGACATAGGACGTCGGCGACACATCAAACATATAATGATAGAATGGCAATACAATCAATACAAGTACAATCACACATAAACTTACATCAATACAACGACCAGTGACTAGTGACTAGTGACTAGTGACTAGTGAGATTAGTGGCCAGTGAATAGACCAAACTACGAACTATGAAGCAGCATTGAGCATTGATTGCTGTCTGGTCCTGATCGTCGTCGTTATCTGTCGTTATTGGTTGTCATGCTGGTGCCAGTACACTGCAGCTTGATGTTCTTCTATGCTTCCAGCTCCAGGCGATTGGTGAGTGCCTGGTGGATGGGATGCTCTCTTCGACCCTCATTGATGGTCTGAAGAATCCCGAGCAGGTCAAGCTCCGGATCAGAATCCTCATGGAGTCCTTTGCCGACCGGCTCAACGCTTTCAACGCAACGAGGATGGAAGAAGACCTCTTCAAGTGCACCCCGAGCTCGGAGCCCTTGCAAAAGGACCTCTTGCGCATCCGGGCTGCCTGCTTGGGGCTGTTGGCTCTGCTGAGTGTGCAGCCGGGGTACAAAGAGTCGACTGCTGCCTTTGTCAACGATCTCAAGAAGTTCAAAGGCTCCACCGGGCTGGAAAGCACGTATCGCGATGTGTTGGCCGGGGATGTCTGGAGCAGCATGTATGATGATCTCATCAGCAAGGGAGCTTCAAGTTTGACCCGTGCCCCAGAGCTCGAGCTCTTGGAGACGGCCTGGAACACAACCGGAGACCCCACGGAGGCTAGGGGCTAGGGCTAGGGCCAGGGAGATCGCTTGGCCATGAAGGTTACGGTTACGGTCATGCCGGTTATGCGGTTATGCTACAACATAGTGACATAGCACGTAACTACAGTCTATAGCACTATAGCTGCTAGGTGCTAACAACGAGTATCCAGTGATATTGCCACTGAATGCTAGTGACTGCTAGTGCTGGTTTTGACTATTGAATTGTGATTAGAGTCTTGGTTAGAACAAGGTTTTGCCGCTTTAGTGCCATCGACCACTCACCACGGGGCACGTGTCAGGAGTCAGAAACTTCAGGTTAGATACTGGTATTTTTCATTTGGAATATCAGTCCTCACAGACGGGTCAAGTCAGTTACTGTTTAGTTTAATCTGGTCAGTCTAGCCGAGTCTAGCCTGTCTGGTCTGGTCTGCAAATCGTTGCCATGTACTCATGAGACTCTATTAACTCCATTAAAGAGTATTAACTGTATTATGATGTCCACGGCAGTTCTTAGTGTTTCCCTTTCCCCAAGAACATGTAGCACTGTGGGCTGTCTGCTGTCCGCCATGTGCGATCTGATATCTGCTATTCCTATCCTTATCGGTCGTATCCGATATGATACGATTTTCCCACCCTCGCCTTGAGGCTTATCGGATTATCGATATTGATGAGGATTTGATGGTGATAAGAACTGAAACGAATGAAACAGAAGACTTGTTTCTTCAAGCATGAACCAGCCATATCCCATGTTACACCGTCGAACAAATACTTGTTGGAGGTTTTGAAAAATTTTTGGGCTTGTGCAATTCCATGACAGGAAGCCATGTCCAAGCTCATTCAGCTCCTGCCGGTGCTTCGGAAGGAAATGAGAACGGGGTCGACGGAGTCCTTCGAGAAGCTTTACCTGAAGAAGGTGATCCTCCTGGCCAAGGGCATCTTGAACAACGAGCGGCCCGATGTGACCCTGGGTTTTATCCGGCTCGTTGAGTCTTGCTTGGCCCTGTCGAAGGATACTTCCGGAGTGCTGCAGCTGATGCAGAAGCTTGACAGCTATTGCAAGTCATCCGCAAGCACCCTCGCAGCCCGTGAGGTGATCATCATCCTGAAGACTTTCCCTCCAGACCGACAAGGTGACCTTCCGTCGGAGCTGCAGAACACCTTGCAGAACTTGATTGACACCACGGCTCAGGCCAAGGATTTCGACATCGACAAGGCGGCCCTGCTCCTGTTCGACAACGCGATGTTCTGGAGCTTCCGCTACATCCACTCCTTGATTCAGGCGAACGTTTACTAACATCAGAGTGATTCATTTGACATGTCTTGAGATGCTTCATTTCTGGGATTGACTGGTATTGGTTACTGGAATTGTAGCTGACACTAGGTCTTGGCCAGCGTGAATTAGGTCCAAGTTGGTTTGGCCCGAACATTGAGTGTCAAGGATCCTGTCTGTTTGAGTCCATGTGTCATGTTTTGTCTGTTTCAGGCAGCCCGGATCTCCATGCCAGAGCGGCTGCTCGAGAACATCTCAAAGTTGTTGGCCATCCTGGAGAAGCGTGTCGGCTCTCAGGAGCTTCGTCGGGTCTGGACAGAGCAGTTCGTGCAGTGGATGCAGGAGTCCATCGAGCTTGCAGGGATTCTGGCAGAGTACTCGAAGGTTCTTGAGGAGTTCGAGAGCAAGGGTCGTGATCCCCAGCAGCGAGAGGCCGCGGACACAGATGGCAAGGTTCTGAATCAGTTGCTCAGGACCGGCAACTCGGCAGTGGCAGCTGTGAACAAGGCAGCCGCCTTCAAGCAGCACGTGGCGGCAGAGGAGTATGGCAACAACGTGTCGCCGTTGCACATCATGTACTATGATTGGTCAGGAGCAGGGCGACAGCAGGTGGAGAACCCGGTGTTCCTGGATACACTTCTCTACCGGTGCTCCTGCTACATCCGCATGCTTGAGCAAGCCCAGGCGAAGCTGAACAAGGCAACGAACGGCCTGCACCTGGTTGATGGTTGGAAGAGCGGTGTGGATGCATCCAGCAGCTACGACGAGTGCATGAAAATCGCGCAGCCCGAGCTGACCAGCACGGATGGGGTGGCTGTGGAAAGTGCACTGAACGGCCTCGCAGAGGCCATGGTTGAATGATACTGTCTTGGGCTCATGATTTCATTCAGTAACAGAGAGTCTGTGACTTCAAGGATTGAAGTAGCCGCCGAGCTGATCAGATTGCCTGCCTGTTTATCGGGCAAACTTCTTTGTAGAAGTCAGTGGAATAAACCAGTAAGTAAGTTTAAACATGACCATCGCTTGAGTTTCTCCCATTGAAAACCCCGCAGAAGAGTTACTCTACAACTGTTGCCCTGAGCATGTGTATGGTATTACTACAGTATAGAGTCTATATGAGCTTATGTGGAGTTTAAGGTCCAGGCCCTGGAGTGTTGCATGGCAGGTGATCAAGGCTGCCAAGGGCTTCCGGAACAGGATCAAGGACTGTGACTGCAAAACGCACGACCTGTTCGTGAACCAGTTGCCGATGTCTTTCAAGAGCCTCGAGAGTGGCAAAGCCTTCAAAACTGAAGTGCTCCTCGTCCTCGCCATCCAGCAGGTGCAGCTTCAGGATCCGTCGACCCAGAAATGGGCGAGGGATGTGATTCGTGCGCAGTTAGGGGATGTCGCAGGCAATGTCGTGAGTGAAGAGAGCATTCTTCCACAGATTTTGGAGAAGGCAAGGCAAATCATCGGCTGAATCCAGTGATCCAGTGAGCTTTGGGTTTTGATCCGGAAGGTTTAGGCTTAGAGTCGGTTTAGGCTGCACCACTACCGAGTTATGTACTTCCCATGCAGTGCAGGGTTTCGTTGATTTCCATGAGCAAAGCTGGATTCACGCGTGCCGATTCATTGATGTGGCTGATGCTGGCCGGTTTTCGGACTGAAACCTGAAGCTTATGTTGAACCTGTTGACATCCTCGTGAAATGTGTGAGCTTTGGGCCATGCTGTCAGCTGACTGACAGAGTCATGCCTTCACGTGTCATGCAGTGTCATCATGGCATTCTGGGCACGGCGTTTTTTAAACTTCCGTTGTTTTCGCCTCATGTCGGGCCAGAGCCGAGAGCCTAGGGCACCATTGACTCGCAATTGCTTAGGCTGGGTAATTCTGCTACTGCTAATGCAGTGATGCTGATGCTGGCTCGAAAGTGGCTAGCGGCTAGTGCGGTTAGTGACTCGGTTAGCCGGTTAGTGAGTGTGATCTAGCCATCGCGCTGCGAGATCAGTTATTGTATCTACCTGCTCTAGACTCTAGACTCTAGCTGGACTCGGGGCCGTGGGCGCTACGTCAGTGCATCATGTTAGTTACTATGTGGCCCGGCATGCTCATTCGGCCTTAGCCGTTCGTGCAAACCACTTCGAGGCCTGTTCTTCAGTGCAGAATGCAAGCTGTTAGAGCTGCGGGGGTGTTTTCCTAATGTCCTCGTGTCTTTGAGCAGGTCAGTCGCATGTCTTAAGATTTGGAAACCTGGACCTAGCCAGCAGTACGTAGATAACATGGTTGTTGCTCTTGTGTTGCCCTGCGAGTGCTCCAGCAGCATTCTCAGACGGATGACCGGTGGCGATTGGCCATCAAAAAAGCCGCAAGGTTTTACTGCATTTTGTGCTGTGACCATTGTGTGCTCTGTGGGTGCTCCAATGTTGCAAAACTATATAGTATATACTGTATAGGTACATACTGAAACGATACTCGCGAAACATTGGACCGAGTCAAAAGACAGAATGCCCAAGCCCGAGGAACACTGTGTGCCTGAAGATACAGTTTCATGTTGGAATCTCTGGTTCCACATCCAAAAGCTTTCAATGCCATGATCAGTGAGCACGGGTGCCCCCACTTTTGATGCCTGCAGATTTGAGGTGCCATTGGTTTACAATTATAGTATATTGTTATTGGTATTATAGGCCATAGGCACAGCGTGTGCATAGGATTGTGGTGAGCGAGTGAACGAGTGTAATCGAATATGTCATATTATATTTCCAACTGTAAACCACTATTGACTCACCGACTCGTCATTTACGGTCTCCTTGCACTTGTCTTTCCTCTGAATGTAATATAGTATTAATATAGTATATATAGTAGGTCTGGGAGGCATGTCACACGTCCGTTTGTCGCTCAACTTTTCAATTGGTTCCATTTTTCCATACCACGAGTAGGCAAATGAAAGAATGAGCGAGCGGATGAGTGAGTGCGGGTTTTTGAACGATTGGGTGAGTGATTGTGGTGGTGTGGGAAAAATGACAGCAGGGAAGGGCGCAGGATCGTAAGGGTCCTCAGACAGGTCTCCCTTCACCCTCGTCTGGACACTCACGCACTTCCCCACTCGTTCATTCATCGCACAGTCACCTATTCGACCTATTCAATGACTCACCCACCCGCTCACTCACCCACCCACTCGCTCATTCATTCTCTCATTGTTCATTCACTCAATCACTCCCTCGCTCGCTCGCTCATGGACTCACTCACTCACTCAATTCATTCCACTCACACCACCCACTCCACTCATTCGCTCATTCATTTGTAGTTGCGTATGTGATGCAATTGTAGCAAATGTATCATCGTGCCTTGACGTCGTACAGCTGGTTATGGAATCAGATGAGAATCGGTGAATGATGTCAATGACGAATCGGCGAATCAATGGTAATATTGCAGTCCAATCGGTGTATCTTTTCTGTAGGCCCCCGGTCTATGTCTATGAGGGTGCTTCCTATGACGTAATGATCAGCCGCAGTCGCACACGTAGGATATAGGAGTAGTCAGTAATCATTACGAATGAAACACGTGCCCCACACATACCGCACACTCGCTCACAAACACATGCACGACATGTGGATAGTACGACATGGCATGTGATTCGATCGTGTAAAAATTCTGATTGTATCATTCCGTCACATCGTAATATGACTTGCAACATGATTCCAATGGTTTTGATATGATTCTAATATGATTTGCATTCGATGGTGAGTTCGCATGAACTGTAATAAGAATACAAAAATATATGGAAATCATGAAAAATATATAAACACATACAAGAGAATATGGAAATAATATCAAAAATATACGGCAAGTATGAAAATATGTAAAAATATACAATATATATATATAATATAATATAATATAATATAATATAATATAATATAATATAATATAATATAATATAATATAATATAATATAATATAATATAATATAATATAATATAATATAATGTAATATATAATACATAATATAATATATAGAAAATATGAAAATACATAAAAAATATATAAAAAATATGAAATAAATATGACCGAAAATATATAAAAAAATATGAAATAAATATGACCGAAAATATGATTTTGTCGTGTCGGGACCAAGAACCCAGATCCAAAGGCAAATCCATATTGGTTTCATATTGGTTTCATATTGTTTTCATATTCCTTTATTTAAACTTATTAGGAAGCGAATATGAAAACAATACGAACCTGCCCGAAACCATATTTCCGGCATATTTTTTTCATATCTCCAAACCATATTATTTTCATATTGTTTCCATAAAAAAAATAATTCAAGGAATCCAGGGTTTGCAAGCCTTCCAAAGTCTCAATGATAGGGCGCAGCAGGCTTGCTATCGGATTCGAACGGGTTTATATGGAGTGTAGGGTGGGGTTCCACAATGAGGGTTCGGGGCGTTACTTCGCTTTGGGGCCCGCGCCTTCGGCTCCGTAGGTTTTGACCTTGGTGTTTTGACTTTTTGGCGGTTGAGGGTTATAAAGGCTTCCAGGTTGGAAGGTCGAACCTGCCGCCGTGCGCAGATACGATTCAGAAATATTCCCAAAGGGTCCTGAGTACCAAGATGGGGCACAGTTATCCAAACCATCGAAGCAACTCCTAGGTCCTACTGCAGAAGCCCTATTCTATAGTTTATACCGGGCAGGTACTTAGGAACCTTTCAAGAAGCCCTAAACCCTAAAAACAAAAAAAACCTTAAAGGAACCCTCACAGGTACCCTTTAAGGAACCCTCACAGGTACCCTTTAAGGAACCGTTTCGAGATCAGAACAAGTACGGGTGGCTGCCCTTCGAGGCCTCCGTACAAAGCCCTGAATACTTCAAGAGGCGCCTGAAACCCTAGCACCCCACATAGCTCCTGCTGTTGATGATATAAATCATTACCTTAATGTTCCTAAACTATTGGAATTATGGTATATTCCTTATTATGGGTAATGCAGGATTTATACTATCGACCGTAGCACCCCATATAGCTCCTATATGCCCTAAATCCTAAGAGCCGTCAAACCGCCAGGTCGGATAGCACTCTTGTGACCAAGCTGAAATGAAGCCGTAAAACCCTATACATACTTCTATAGGACCCAGAGTAGGCCCTTACTCCCTTCTTTTAAGGTTTAGGTTCCCTTATAACCCCCTTTGAACCACAAAGGGCATCCTTTCTTGGTTGCTCTTGGGTCTAGACTTGAATTAAAGTCAAGGCTTTGGACGTAGAGGAGTCCTTTGTCAATTGCGGTTCAAATGCAACCAAAAACTGACGGCTTGATGAATCCGCAAGCCTCGAAAAACCTTCAAAGAGCGACGCAGCATTTTATGATTCCTAAACAATGAAACGCGCTTCAACCCCCCCCACCCCCCCCAAAAAAAAAGGGCAAACACATGGCCTCTGTGACTCCTATTCATCCAACACGCGCCTCAAAGAGCAAAACACACACCAACGCTCTAAACCCCTAAACCCCTAAACAATAAACCCTTAACCCCTAAACCCTCAACCCCTAAACCCTACAAGCTCTACCCTAAACCCCTAAAGGCCGTAAGCCAAAGCCCTGCCCAGCTCCCGGTGGCTCCGAGCCGACTCCGCCTGGGGAGCCCTGGCAGCAGGCCGTGGATCGGCGACTGGGATGCAAGGCTTTGGGCTTTAGGGGGTTAAGGGGTTTAGGGTTTAGGAGGGTTTAGGGGTTCAGGGTTTAGGAGGGTTTAGGGGTTTAGGGTTTAGGAGGGTTTAGGGGGTTCTGGGCTTTGGAGCACCGTACTTTAATACATTTTTCGGGACCTGTTATTGAAAGGGAACCATTATGAAATAAAAGTCTATACTTTTTCTTCCTGGTTACTTCAAAGCCCAGTGTAGGGGCCGGAATAGCTTAGATCCCCAATGGCCAACCTTTAAACTTTTTGGGCTCTTCTAGTTTACTAGGATGCGGAAAGGTTAACCTTCTGTTTCTGTGGTTTATTGGGGTAGTAAGATTACCGATGCTATCTTGGCGGTTCCTTATTAAATAACAGTATATACAGTTTATGGCCCCAATTGTTGTTACTAAGGGCGCTGTATTAGGGGAGTTTGAGGAGGTTTAGGATTAAGGGGTTTAGGGGTTCAGTGTTTAGGGTTTTAGGGATTGATTTAGGGGGGTTAGGGGTTCATGAGGGTGGCTGATGATTCAGGAATCGGAGTTGTGTCAGGGATCCAGGGCTGGTGGTTTAGTGCTCAGAAGGCATGAATGCACTACTCCCTGGACCTCAAAATCTAAGCCTAAAAAGCCCGAACCCCTAAACCTCTAAGTCCCAAGCCCTTAAACCCTAAGGCCTACACTGCGCCAAAGCCTACATCCCGAACCCGATAAGCCCTATTGAACCCCCGAGCCTGCAGTGCACCAATCAAGGCAAAATCTCGCGGAAGAGGACAGCAGCAGCTACGGCAGCGAAACCTCCTCCGACTCCGCAATCGACTTCTGAGGCAAGGTCCCGGAGACTCCAATATCCCGTAGTTAAGGAATTTTCCATAAGTTATAGTGGGGTCCCTCATATGATTTAAGGTCTATTCCTTGATTAAGGGATACTGGAGGCTCCGGGGTTGAGTTTAGAGTTTGGGGTTGAAGGGCCTGCATGAGGTTAAACTTAGGGTTTGGGGTGGGCATGGCTCAGTAGTAGAGCATCAAAGCTTGAACTTCAACCTGCGACGGGTATTATAACCCGTCTCTCTCTCTCTCTCTCTCTCTCTCTCTCTCTATATATATATATATATATTCATTGATTTATTTATTTGTTTATGCATATGTAGTGCGTGTGTATATATATATATATATCCAGAGCTTAACGTTTTGCGAGATATTGGATTTGAGAGAATGTTTCTCAGGATTACGGACCAGTTCACCGATATGGGTGTATGGTGTATAGGAGGTTTGCCTGAAATAAAGTGGTCCTCGTGTTGCATAACCCCTAATTACCCGGCGAACCCGCACCCCCAGAATTTCCCAGACATTCCCCCACCACCAACCACGACCAGGACCACCACCACCGCCACTACCAAGACCACCACAATCACCACCACCACCGCCACCAGCACAAACCGTCCATCGAACCCTGGCAGAGCCCCTATACAAAACTATACAAATAAGCATACGCAGGCACATGGACCTTTGGGGCTAGTTCTCACTTCTGGAGATTAGCATGTGGAGCTCCTTGAATCTGAAGGCACCCGATGGCGATGAACTACTGTATGCTTTAGGGCTTTAGGGTTTAGGGGTCAATGGCACCGGCTGTTGAAGAAAGACGAGATTTCGCAAAGAAGCCAGACTCCCTTCAGAAGATCTCCACATGCGTACTATTACCTATACCTTTTGGGGCTCCTTCTTATGATTATAGTTTCATGAGCCCCAAAACCCTGTTCTAACGATTAAGGCCCCTCTATGAGGTGTGAAGGTTTGCTTGCTGTGAGGCACATCTTCACATTGACCGCTGTACAGATCCGCGGTCGGGCGGCACCTTGGAGGGCTCCCATGACTCATCCATCCCCTAAACCCTAAACCTTTGAACCCTAAACCTCCAAGCCCTAAACCCCTGAACCCTAGCCCTAAACCCTAGATTCTACCCCAAAGGGTCCAAAGTAGCTATATAGTAGAATGTAGGGCTTCTATATTTGGAATTACCATTATGATTTGGCAAAGTATCCCCCGAAACAGTACCTAGGACCCTTGAGGTATCGGAATTCTATGTGGGCCCCGCTTGAACTCGAAGCTCCAACCAGGTTTCAGGCTCTGTCAGATCCCCTAAACCCTAAACCCTAAACCCTAAACCCTAGTGTCAGATCGATTTATGTGGCTAGGGTTTCAGGGCTAAGGGCTCGTGGGGTTTTTTATGGTTTCGGCCCTAGGGTTTGGGGCTTCTTCCGGCAGAACTTGAAGACTTCGACGGTTACCTATAGTAATATTAAGGATCCTATAAGGTAACCCCCAAAAAGAGCTACAATAGATACTATAGGTCCTATAGTATCTATTGTAGTTATTTTTGAGGGTTACCTTATAGGATCCTTAATTTAAAATTGGTTAAGCCAAAAAGGAACTACAATGGAGACTATAGGTAGGGTACGGGCACGGCAAAATCCGCTTAGACAGATCAGCACTGAGAGAGTCGAGGACAGTCCTCCTAGCCATAAAACTTAAGATAACTTTTAGGGTTTAGGGTGCTATGAGGGCTGTGAGGGATCTTTTCTGTAGGGTTTCCATAAGAGGCTCTTAGTAGCTGAGTAGGTAACCCTTGAGCTTTTGGGGTTTAGATAAGCTTACCATAACTTAAAAGGCTAACCTTTTTGGGCGATGGTACCCAGCCCAAGACAAATTCCTGATGCAAAGTCGGGGCCCAAAAAAACTTAAGACGTTACGCACAGCAAAAATGAATCTGAAATCTACACCACGCAGTTACCAGTGACCTTGCAGGGAACCCTCAGACGCAAAGCCGAAAAAGATGGCAGAGATCCGTGTTCTCTTCGCTATTCCTTAGTTTTCGTTTAGCTTCGTGCGAAAAGAAGCCGACGGCAGACGAAAAGTGAGCTTCTGCTTCTTTTGGTGTAGAGCGGCTCAGAGGGTGGGATGGTGTCATTTAGGAGTGCTGTAAATGTCTGATTTAGGGTTTAGGGTTTAGGGGTTTAGGGTTTAGGGTTTAGGGGTTTAGGGTTCAGGGGTTTTGGGGGTTTAGGGTTCAGGTTTTCTGTCGCCTATGTTTGGACACCCATTCTGAACATGGCGATATGGCGCTAGTTTTACGAAGGCTTATACGGTTGTCTTCATGGAAGGCAGAGTCGTTGCAAAGTAAGTACTGTTCGTACTGTGTGGCTGTCAAACAGAAATTTGATTAAGCCGGCGAATCGGTTTCATACTGTTGCCCGTGTTACGACGGTCATTGTAAGTATTTCTACGGCTGTTGGTACTTCAATTATAATCACTGCTATTATTCTTGTCGTTACGACTACATACTTGTACAACGAAAGAACACTAATTAGTATTGTTCGTGGGCAGGGCTTCAAAGGAAGGGTCCATCTGCGGAGCGTCACCAAGTTCAGGTCACCAGATGTATTGGCGCACACTTTAGCAATCATGGCTTCGTGCATGAGGGTTCGGTAGGGCTTGCAAAGTGCGCTGCACAGCATGGCCTCTTTGTCGGTCCGACAGCCAGAGCACTCGAAAGCTATCCCGGTGGCGACAAAAGACGTCGCCCAAGTGTGCAAGCAAACAGGTAAACCCTAAACCCTCAACCCTAACTCGTTAACCAAATTCAACATCGTGCCCGTCCTGAATCCGAATTCCCAATGCCGTTAAACTCCGTCATCACGGAGTTGCCCCAGAGGGTCGCAAGTATTTTGATGGGGGGGTACTCACCCAAATCATCATCACAATTCCTACTATAGAAACCCTTCTTGCCATTTAAATACTACCTGGGCCCCAAAAGTATGTTGAACAACAGCCTATTTTAGGCTTTGGGCCATCATTTTGCTTACTTTTGGGGGTCTAGGTAGTGTCGGACTATCAAAGTGACGCTTCGCGCGCAGTCACACCTCGACGCACTACACCAATGAGCCGGAAATCCCAGCTTGGACCAGACTCCCAGTAGTACCCTTATTCCTTTTTTGTAGTCCTAGGTTCCTTATAAAGTTACCCAATACCAAAAAGAGAGGCCTTTTTATTCTTAGGTTACTGGGTATCCTAGCCGAAACCAGGACCCTCCTTGCACCCTCAAATTGGGGTATATGGTCCCGAATAATGGGCATTTAGGGTCTAATCCTAGACCCTAAACCCCAAAAACCCTAAAAACCCTCAACACTAAACAGAGAGCGAGTCGATCAGACCTGCAGGTATCGCGGCTTTGCAACAGGCCTGGGCAAACCTAAGACCCATAAGCCCCTTGAGGTTTAGGATGGAGGGGTTTGGGGTTTGGGGGTTTGGGGTTTAGGGGTTAGGGTTTAGGGTTTAGGGGTTTGGGGTTTAGGGTTTAGGGCTTGAGACCCATAAGCCCCTGCCAAACCCTGACGCCAACCCCAGCCCCTCATGCCCGAAACACCCGAAGTCTTTGAGCAAAACCCAGCGAAAACTTCAAGAGGCCTCTCACGAAGCTGGCTTCCGAAACCCCTTCAGACAGGAGAATGCATACACCAAAGTATACTCCGTAGGTAGAGCCCTTAAACCCTAAACCGAGTATCCTTATGTTGATGTGCCGTTTTGCCGCCCCTGCCGGGTTGAGGGCTTTGAAGCTGCGGTTTGTTGATTCACGGTCTGGGTCTGACTCTAAAGTTCTGAGGTGTAGCGGTTTGCGGTTTGGGGTTTAGAAGGGCTAGTCAGTATTTCGAAGATTGCATAGCTAAATGAGGTTAGGGTTCAGAGCTTGCAGATTTGGGCTTTGAAGGCTTAGGGTTGCACCCTACAGAGCGTTCGGAAAGCCAGAACCCGCCATAAACCCCTCCTGAACCCTGCAGCGCCTGATATAGGGGCCTAAATAATTATCAATACTATTTTGGAGGGTCCTTGCATAGTATACTGGGCCGAAACCCCTATTCTATCTATTGAGGTCCCTATATTATACTAAGTGCACCCGCAACAAGAACCCCACCCACGAGTCCTATGCACTAGGCCCACCCTGGAGCTCTGAAACCAGTGAATGCCGGACGCCAAATTGACAAAACATCGTCCTAAGCCTAGACCCTAGTGCCGCGAAGACGAGCCCTAAAATGCACAATCCATTTCTTGACCTGTGTCGTTATTGGGATGCAGGACAGAGCCGCGATAGAACTGCTGCGAGCGCCGCGAGAAGGCCGCTGTGGTTCAAGAGTGGTTGTTTGTCGCATGTAGTTAAAGTTGTACTTAGACACCCCACCTCCAAATAAGTACGTCGCGCCGCTAACATCATCTCTTAGACTCCCTAAACCCTAAACCCTAAACCCTAAACCGGACTGATTGTAAGAAACCTCCGACATGTTCTTCGCAGTCATGGCAGTGTTGAAGGTCAATATAGTGGCCCGAACACCAGATGAGGGGTGAGGCTTTTGGGTTGAAGACTGAGGTTTTGGGGTAATCAACCGAAGGAAGATGGTTATCCACCATGGAGGATCCTAGCCAAAGGAGCAGATAACAGGCCTTTCGACCGGCAATCTGCCCTAAACCCAATTGAATCTTGAAAAGCCTTCGTCCCACCTGAACGAGCGAGCGCAGCACATGAATTCCTGGCAGCATAGTGCCCCTGATCCTTCGCCTCGGGTTTTGGTGTGTGTTACACTGTTGTGCCATAGTACTACGAGGGACTATACGAATCTTTGTAAATTACTAATTCAGACAGCTAAGAATCCCAGATCCAAAAGACCCTAAACTTCCTAAACCCGAAAGCGTTTAGCCAAGGTTCCGCCGTAGGATTCAGTGCGTGTTTCTAAACGTCCGGGGAAGCTTCCCCGGAGTTGCAGAAGTTGCTGATATTAGCCCTGACACCCTCGCAGAGCTACCGTGTCACATGCCGCCCGAATCCTGCCTGGAATTCAATGAGCCTCCAGTCTTACACACTCCGACTTGCACACACCGTTTGAAACCATTTGCAGCCAGCTGGTCGAAACATGAACGAACCTGCCCTGCTATAGAAGCCCCAATAATTGCCCAAGGCTCTTCAATAATACCCCAAAGCCTTATGTTGATTATTATTGAGGCCCCTATGCTAAGTTTCTGTAAACCCCTTATAGAACCCCTAGAGGAGCCCTTTCAAGCAACACTGCTCGAATTATCACGGCCACAATAATATAGAACCGTATGGAACCCTATTGTAGAGCCCTTTACAGGAGCTTTTGCAAGCAACCCTATTCTAATGGTTAAGGCCCCTACATTGCACCATGCACCTGCTCTCACGATCGCCAGGCGCCGTGCAGGAGGCGACACCAGGACCACGCATCCAGTCGTGGAGCGTGGTGGATTGAGTGAACAAAAGTCACTCCTCCGATTTGCTTCAGAGGCTCTGAACCCGCCCTGCTCTCTGATAGTCTTGTTACCAACTGAGGGTTAGAGAATTGGAAGCCTGCCAGATAGAGGAGCCAGCTATGGTCTCTCGGTAGCCATGCGTCTGGGGTGGATTGCGTGACACTAGCCGAAGGCCTTTCGGTCAGTCAAGCATCGACACCTTCCGTACCGAAGCTACAATACCATCACTTCCGAAACAAGCCGGTGCACTGCGGCAGCCGCAGTACGGTAGCATTCGCACCGCTTCTGTCCTGGTTGTTGCTAAATATTTCACATCGGACAGTTTAGACGTTTAAACCTCAATCAAGCCTTTTCAAGCTTCGCGAAAGTGCACTCTAGTAGAGAAGTTTGGGTTTGTATAGACATATGGATGGATGGAGGGAGGAATGGATGCATGGATGGATGGATGCCTGGGGTGGATGGATGGATGGATGCATGGATGCATGGATGCATGGAAACATGGATGCATGGATGCACGGATGCACGGATGCATGGATGTATGGATGCATGTATTGTGGTATGTATGTATGCATGCACGCATGTGCGTATGTGTTCATCAAAGGTCTTGTTGCGGCAACAAACATAACAGATATAGATAGAGAGAGAATAGGTACATAGAGAGAGAGAGAGAGAGAGAGAGAGAGAGAGAGAGAGAGAGAGAGAGAGAGAGGAGGGAGGGAGAGTTAGATAGCATATCTCCCGGCAGGCATGGAGGGCTTCCATCAGCGGAGCGTAAGTACCATGTTTGGGAACTGTGGTTGCTCGGCCCCCTCACGTGGACAACAGCAACCATGGCCCCAGGCGAGTTGTCACAAATTCAAGCCAGGTTATCTACATATAACATATACAGTATATATATATATATATAGCATATATATATATATATATATATATGTATACACACACAAATGCTGTCATATTGGATAAACCAATCCATAACTAAGTATATTTAACTCTAACCAGGTGACTTCCCCCCACGGCATGAGCCACAGAAACTCGCATACTATCCCTGGGAATCCCAAATCGGCACACCCCGAGACCAGACCCGAACCTAAGGCTCCCTGCACCCATAAGTACCCATTTTAAGAGCCCTTTTTCAGGCCTAAGTACATGCTTTTATGGGCACATAGAGCCCCAGGGCAAGCTTCCGGAGCCCCGCCCCCCTATAGCCTAAACCCTCCTTCTGTCGCCATGGCCCCGCCCCCGTCGGCACGTGAGCTCCTGAGCCGCGTGGAGAGTGCTGTGGGCGCAGATCGTGCTGCGGTTCTCCAGAGCCTGAGGACCTCAAAGGGGTCCTTGAACTGGTTCGGGTTTAGGGTTTAGGGGTTTCTTTGAGGGTTCCTTTAAAGGTTCCTTTGAGGGCTTTACGAGTCTATAAGGGCTCGATATATAGTCCTTGGACGGCCTTTTATTGTTCGGGCTTGGGGCTCCAGGGCATCTAGACTTATGTTTTTGATACAGAATTTAATGAATTCCTGCTAGGCCATATCATAAAATGGATTCTCAGAATACAATAATGTTCGCCTAGGGTAGTTAAGTAAAGTAAGATAGGGGCCTGAATAATTATGACTATAGTATAATGGGCTAAGGCCCTTGTATTGAACCCCATAAAAACTCTCGAGATTCCTTAGAAGAGCTCTTTAAAGGAGCCCTGTTCTAACTACTAAGGCCCCCTATGCTATATTAGGTAGTTGTAAGGAAGATATCTTTGGCCACAGGACCAACGGCAACCTCCTGGCCCGTGTGTCCGACTCCATGAGCCATGTTTCAAGCCTTTAGACTCGTTTTGGGGTGTGTACCCAGAGGCCCCAAGGTAGTTCCTTTTGGGCACTACCTTATAGGATTCTATATATATATATATATGAACCCCAAAAAGGAACTACTTTGGGGCCTTTGGGTAATTTCGAGACCTTATAATTTATAATAAGTAGAATAGGGTGAATAGTGCATAGCGTTTTGGGGCTCATTATACTATAAGTATAATGATTCAATAAGGAGCCCCCGAAACAGTATGGGTAATTATTGGGGCCCCTTGGGGTTTTCGATGCAGTGCCTCTGGCGCTGCCTCTGGCGCTGTAAAACCGAGGTGTGGGTATCAGGGTCTTGAAGAAGCAGCCTACGAGTAGGCGGTGTTTTTTTCGGTTTTGGTACCTTCTGAATTGCTTCTTAAAGGGTTTAGGAGTCAGGTTGAGGGGTAAGGGTTTCGTAATGCGCCTCTGATCGTTTGTGGCTGCTGCGCATGGCTTGGTGGGACGCACTTTCCGGTGGATTCTTCCTACGAATGTTGACAGGTTCTCCCTACTTATAGCCGGAAGAAGTAGTATTGCAGAGAGATTCATGCGACGGCGCAGCTGCCGAATCTAAGGAAGGCAGATCGTGAGATTGTCGCTGCTGCCATTGAGCAGTGCCCAGGTGGCATTCCAGACAGTCTACTCCCCGGCACCCTAAACCCCCTGTAACAGGTAGAGCCCCAGAAATCTCACGGACCTTTCTGTTTGTTTCAACTTTATTTCTAACAGTTTGCCATGTAAGTCTTGTGCTTTGCTTACCTTACATAGCTTCACAAGACTCCCGAAATCCAGATTGACAAAATGGGGTCCGAGTCCTTTAATAGCACCGACATCATATAACAGTATTCCTATACAGTTACCGCAGAGCCGAAGCCGAGAATCCTCCACCGTGAGACCCTAAACCTTGGAACCCTGAACCCTAACCCTGAACTCTGCAAAACCGTCAGTTGTCAAAATTATGGTCCCTTTTGGGGTATCCTAAATATTAGGTGCCATATTATAATAAGGACCCAAAAAGGGACCCCAATTTTGACAACCACCCACATATACCATTATGCAACCCATACAGAATCCTTACTCTTCTCTCTCTGAACATCGAAAACTTAAGAGCACTTATTTATGGCAAGGTTTCCAAACCCTATACCCTAAACCCTAGGTGGACGTAGGTCAGCACACAACCAAATCAAAAAATAGACCCTATAAAGCCTAAACCTTGGATACTGCCCCCCACTCAGTAACAGTTGGATAATATTCATAATATAGATATATTATGGTCAACTCCGGAAAGTTGGAAAGTGCGTTCCGGCACGCTTGGTCCTGAAACCCAATCTTCCAACTTTCCGTTCTGGGCAGTCCGACACTCCGCATGGTTTCCAAAAGGAGGAAGCCTCTTATTGTGATCTTCCAAGTTTACTCCCCTTGGTAAACACCGTGCTTCTTTCCTCGCAGCGCCCCGCAACCCCGCATCCTGAAAACGGCCACCCAGCACCCCCGCAAGCCCGGATTCGTGCTTCGTCTACCCCCTTCGTAGTTCTGTCAGTACTTGAGGGAAACACTTTTAACGGTGGGTCTAGGAACCGCCAGTAGTTGGGGGAAAGCGATTCCCCGTGCCGTGGATTGATTCTGAATCCTGTGAGTACTTGGGGTCTTGTGGCTGTGGTTATGAATGCGTCTTGAAGCTGCAAGTACTGGGAGAGCGATTCCGCCGTGTCCTCTGGGGCAAAGCGTTGTGGGCGTGGTTACGAATGCGTCCTGGAACGGCCAGTCCTCGCCGGGGGACAGCGATTCCGTCGTGCCCTCGATTCTTTCCGAATCCCGCCAGTACTTGGGGCAACGCATAGTGGACATGGTTATGACTGCGTTCATACGAACTGCCAACACTAAGCGATTCTGCCGTGCTCCGAATCCGCCAGTACTTGGGGCGAGGCATCCTAGGTTCCCGGTTTTGAAACCAAAGTTGGAAGACATGAAACTTGGAAGACGTGAAACATAGACTGCCAAGCTTAAAGTTGGAAGATGTCTTGTGTCATGCCCCAATCTTGGTAAACCATCTTCCAACTGTAGGCCCTTAATAGTAGCCCTATTGTAGACTGTTACTGTATGGGGGCAGTGTCCTACCTAAACCCTAAACCCCTAAACCCTAAACCCCTAAACCCTAAACCTCTAAACCCTAATACCGCCCTCTAAACCCTAAACCCTAAAACCCTAAACCCGAAAGCCTAAACTCTTCAGCCCCCCGGGTCGGAGGTGCGGCTCCGCATTGGCCTACGCCCATGGATCTCTGAGGGCCGATCGGGAGATGGCGCTGAAAGCCGTGCAGCAGCTTCTTCGGCTGTCAGTTTAGGAGTTTAGGGTTTAGGATGGTTGGCGGTATAGGGATTTGTGGGTTTCTATCTGGGTTTAGGGGGGTTTAGGGTTTAGGGTTGTCAGTAGTTTATGGGTTTAGATGGCTTTATATTAACGCGTTGACGAGCTGTTACCGGGGTAGCTTCTTGGGTTTGCATTCATGCGTTTTTTTTGTAGTAGGCGGGTTTACAGTGCTTTGCATGATTTACATGGCTCTATTAATTTGTAAATGGCTTTAGAATAGAAGGTGGTGTAAGTAAGGGTAGTATTCGTCCAAGGGCTTCTTGTTTTGGTTCGTGTTACCACTCTTCTTCGGGTGCTGTAGTGTAGGCTGAAACTCTGAATTGTAACTATTCAGGCTACTATGATAGACTGGTCGGCACAGGCATCCGATACCTCTAGTGTAACATCCTCCACCCAAAAAGCCGAAGCCCCGGTGAAGAGTAGCAAGCCGCACCATTGCCTGAACATATTAGTATCCCCAAATCCCCACTCGATCTATTAAGGTCCTTAAACCCTAAACCCTGCTCGAACTCTTGAGGCCCTTCAGCTAGAGATCCGTTACATAATCCGTTCGAAGCCGAAGGACGGGCTATGCCCTGGAGGCGTGTCGGGGTGGCTGATACATGAAGTTCTATAAGCAGGAGCTTTAGGGCTTAGGGTTTTCCTATAAGCTCAGGGTTCAGGGTCTTGAGAGTCGAGGGGGTAGTGTCAGGGACGTAATGCTATATCGAATGCTGTTGCATGCTGTCCAGGTTCGCAATGTTTGCGAGCTGTCGTGGAGCTAGCGATGTCTTGCTCTGTAGAGTGTTACTTGAAGTCTCCATTTGGTAGCCTTCTCACGCGAACGGACATTGGTACTTGTTGAGCAGCCCCAACCCTTACAGCCGTGAAGCCCTAAAGCCCCAAACCCAAAATCCGAGGCACTGGACCTTGAAACTTGTCTGCCACGGTAAATTCCAATCCACGAGGGACGTAGGAATCAGTGTTTCTTTGGGTCTTGGCTTCAGAGTTTCTTGCGTTACCCTCCCTGAAACCAACATGGAGCATAAAATAGCCCGCCTTGTAAATGGACAGCGGTTCTTTATCATTGCTGGGCAATTAACATTTTACATGTTTATGGTTTATGGGTACTTAAACCCAATAAGGAATAAAGATGTACATTGATAATCCTATCCCAACCATGATCTAGGGTTTGATCAGGGAACCCTTATAAACCCTAAACCCAAAAGGTTCCATGTTAGCTTGGGGAGTCCAGCACCGAGAGCCCTGCCGCAGAGTTCAGAGTCGTGACAATATGAGGCTAGGATGCCGAGTAGTACCCTTATTCCTTTTTTGTAGTCCTAGGTTCCGTATAAAGTTACCCAATACCAAAAAGAGAGGCCTTTTTATTCTTAGGTTACTGGGTATCCTAGATGAGGAACCCTGGGCAGTTTGCCCAGAGAACCCAATACCCCTTACCTGGACCCCCCAAAAGTAGGTAAAATAATGGCCCAAAACCTATAAAAGGCTATTATTCTACATACTTTGGGGGTCCAGGTAATTCTCGAATATATATATATATATATATAGTGAAATATAGAGGCCTTAATATGATGATTTAAGGTATATGCCTCAATTCAGGGGTATTGGGATCTCTGGGTATAGGCACGTGCATACTCCGAATCGAGGCACGTGGTGAACTTCTATACACGGCGCCCAGAAGAGCCGTGAACTCGAACTCCTAACACGAATATGTCCTGAAAGCACTCCTTGCCTGTCTGAAGGAAACCTGCATGTATGCTGTATGCATATAAGAAAAATGTGATAGTACATAATTAATAGGTTCAGATGGGGGGAATGCACACGCATACCCTGTGTCAGCCTACCCTAAACCGGTACGTGCACACCTGGATCTCCCCCGGTGGGGGCAGGTGATTCATCCCGAGCTCCGATGCGATGAGGAGCTTGGGTTCTTGTGAAGGGAAATAATTTACGATACCATATTTTAGGGTTCCTTTTAAGGGGTCTATAAGGGTTCCTTCAGGGGTATAGGGATTAAGCTCCTTAACGAGAACTGAGGAGCTGGTGCTGGCGGCAGTGGCCGAAAACGGCGTCCGGGCGCGGCTTAGGGGGTTTAGGGGTTTCAGGTCATTTTGGGTTTAGGGTTTAGGGGTTTCAGGTTATTTTGGGTTTAGGGTTTAAGGGTTTCAGGTTATTTTGGGTTTAGGTCTAGATTTTAGGGTTTAAAGTTCGCCTGGACCCCAACAGTAGGGCCGTTTGGGGGGTTTGGGCTTAGGGCTTACAGGGTTGGTTTAGGGGGCTTTAGCGTTAGGATTTCGGAACACGGCAGTATGTCGGGTTTATGGGTACGGACAGTTTTGGTTCATTTCCCGAGCCCTACAAAGTTCTGCGAGGTTCATAGGGTTCTGTAGACAGTAACTTGGCTAAACCCTAAACCCTAAACCCTAAACCCTAAACCCTAAACCCTAAACCGATCTTGGGCGAGGCTGAATGGTGAGAGGCTCGCTGCTCAGGCCTGGGGTGGTCAGTGCCGTTACTCTCATGTTGACCCATTTCAACCCTTAAGCACTCATGCTACATTCTAAGTACAAACAGCCGAAGAGCACTCAATACGCCCTTAAGCCTCCGACCCCCCAGCCAACCCGTAGTCAACCAAAACGGGCTGTGCCCGTCCGAGGAAATGCTCTGCAGTTCGCTTCACATGAGTTGTGCGAGGATCTGCGCTCTGCCAACCCTTCGGGTAAAGGGGGGGGGCATAGTTTGCCATAATGTCGCCTTATAGTCCCTACCTGGACCCCAAAGGTATGTGGAAGAATCGCCTTGTATTGGCTTAGAGCTATTATTTGACCTATACTTTGGAGGGTCTAGGTACAAGCCCAGAGAACCCTTACGAAAGCCCCAAACTGCAACCTCGAAGAATAACTACTCGTTTCCAACAGCCCGAGAATCCTGCCTACAAGATAGTTGCTCTTTGCACTCAGGGCTTTAGGTGTTTTGGGGCTGTTGAGGTTTATAGTTTATAGGATATCGGGGTTCAGCAGTGTAAGCGTTTGGGGCTTCAAGGCTTTAGGGCTTCCGGACTGTAGCATCTACCAGGACGCTGCATTTCTTTGCTCAGACTCAGGTTGTTTGACTGTTGACACACAAAACAAAGCGGATGACAACTCTAGATCTGACCTACTGTTGATGATATAAATCCTGGATTACCTTATGCATCTTCAACTGTCGGAAATATGATATTTTTTGGCTACGTAGTGCAGGATTTGTATCATCAACCGCAGTAGCAGAGTAAGTACCGGTAATCATTTATTATTTGTCATCTCATGCCGCCCGCTCGGGACACAGCTTCTCTCACGTCGCGCTGTTACCTTAGTGGATTACTTTGTCATCCCGCTGGTTCACCTTATTAACCTCCAGATACCCTATGTTCTCCTAGGAAACATACTGGACAGGTAGGCTGAATATGGTTCAGGGTCAAGGTTCCAGTTTCGAAGTGTTGGGTTGATTGGATAGTAGGTAGTATTGTTAGGGAGACCCCTTAAAGGGTACCCCTTCTGAACCCTGCTTCTGGCTCTCTTTAAAGGGGCCTTACTGAGAGGGTCTATATCCCCAAGGGTGCCCCCTAATCCTAACTCCCAGATAGAGCTTTCGGGATTTAGGATGCGTCTATTTTTGTACATAACCCCCGGATAACCTACCCTTTTTATGGATATGTAGAAGCACTCATGTTAAGGAACCCTAAAAAGAGTAGGTTCTTCAGGGTCCAGGTAAACCCTAAGGGTTACGAGTTTACGACCTGCCTGAGTGGAAGGGAGTCCGAATGTTCGCAGCAAGTCGGCCCAAGCAGACAGAATGATTCAGCAGAAGAGCAGGTATCCTTTCACCCTTTAGGGTACTGTAACCCTTATGCCTTATGCAATCCCGAACTTTAACCTTTACTCCCCAACTATGGGATATTGGACAAGTAAGAAAGTTTGCCTGAGAGCCTCAGCCAATCAATCCTATACCATGGCTGTAACCAGGGAACCACCCGCTTCAAGAGCTTCACTAGATCCTAAACACTCAAGAGCTTCACTAGATCCTAAACACTTTCGCAGGAATGGGTTCGGTCAAGTCTCTGCCGATCTCCCAAGCGGAGTGCTGCCAGCCTGTCGTCTGCCAGCCTGTCGTCAAGGCTACGTCCAAGCCCTCGTAGACGAGTTGTCTAGATGACAGGTGGCTACAACATGGTCATGTAGTCTACTTTTCTTTGTTGACATTTGGGTGCCGTTGACAAAATTAGGTTAATTTGGGTCCCTCTTGGGGTCCATAAGATCATACAGCACCTAATATTTAGGGTACCCAGATAAGGGACCATCATTTTGACAACTTCCCATTTGCTGTTATGTAGCACCCGTGCTACGGCTGATGGACAAAATCCTGCATGAGTCACTGCATGAGCTTAAGGATCCTACACTATGGGAATTATGGTATATTCCTTGTATTGGGTATTGCAGGATTTTGTCCATCAGTTGTAGGGTAGCACGGCCGGGGGAGCACCTCGGGCCCAAAGTGTTGTAGACTGAACTCTGATGACTCTGCAGGCGTGTTCTGAAAGCTAAGGGTGCTAGAATTGCTATGAAGCTTGAGTTGCTGGGTTTAGTATCATAGGATTGGGGGTGCAATGTGATGGCTTTGAGTGTGTGGGCTTGTGAGATGCTAGTTGGATATGCGCCCAAGCATATGCTTGCATGTGACTACATGCATACCGCGTATTTGTCTGTCTGCCTGACACAAGCATGCTTTCAGGCAGGTGGCAGTCTGGCATTAAATTACATACCTATGCATGCCTGCATGCATGCAAGCATGTCGGTGAGCGTGTAATAGGTGCCGTCCATGTACTTGTTGAAGTGTTGTTTGTTTGATTTGGCGCAAGCCAAAAAACGAGTGTGTGGTAGTGCGATGAATCGAAAGGTCGCTTCATGTGAATTGTCCTCTGGATCATCCTCCGCTTTTTTGTCTACATGCTTGTCTGGCTTACCGCTGGTGTGCAGGTGCTTCGTTGACGAGATTGCACTACCGTGCACATGGCCATAGAATCCCTCGGCTTGCCTTTGAACTCTCAATACACTTCGCGAGATGATTGCTTCCGAAGATCTGGAAATCGTCATCTAGCAGCATACACTCAAAGGCCGTTTTCAGACTTACTCATCCAATGCTTTCAGGAGCCCGAAACCCGAAACCCCTAAACCCTAAACCTTAGACTGGCCCTAAGCCCTAATTCGGGCCCTACTTCTTTCAGGAGCAGATCGAAACTTGCGTTGCGGAAGGGGGAGAGCAAGGCCACTCCTGAAAACGCTTAGTTTAGGGTTTAGGGGTTCCGCATGAGGGATCAAAAGGGCTTTGCAGACTACTCTTCTAAGGGTTTAGGGTTGAGGGAGGGAGACTGTCAGGCAGAAATTCGAGGGTTGCCACGATTGGCTCAGTAGTAGGCTTGGGGCCTGCTTCAGGGTTTGTTGATTCACCCCTAAACCCTAAACGCCTAAAATGTAAACCCCAAGAGCCCTAAACACTAAACCGCCATGGCCAGGATCTAAAGCTTTGACCGGAAACGGACTCATGCTCGGAAATGCAACAAAGCCCTCTCTTCCTGGCATGTGGGTAGTTCTGTAAGTTAGGGTCCATCTTGTACGTTCCCGATCAGTACGGCACCTTTGTAAACGGGACCTTAACTTGTACCCGAATTTAGAGAACTGCCCATGTTGTCATACACGGCGGGAAGACGCCAAGCGCGCAGTATATGCTCGCTTACTCTCACGCTCTGTCGGAACACCTGGATCGCCTGAATCCCTGTACCCTTGTAGGGGCTTAAGGGGAACAAAGAGTTTTTAAGGGTTTTTAGGCGTTTCAGGGGGTTCGACGGTGTAGAGTATGTAGTATTCGTGGCACCCCACCCCTAGGCGTTGCGTACGTGCTTGATCTAACTCCCAAGATTCACCCTAAGGGTCCATGTACCCAAGTAGCATATGCATTGGCCCCACAGTACCTATATGGGGACTACTTCAAGGCCAAAGTATATACTATTTGGGTACATGGACCCGTAGGGTCATACTTTGAAGGAAGGGGTGTTATCTTTTGAGCATCTCCTAAATCCGAAACCCTTAAGCATGTCCTAAACCCTAATCCCGAAATAGCCGTCGCCGAGGACAGCTGGAGACCCCAGCGTCATTCCTGGAGGGGCCGCAGGAGAAGGAGGAGGCCTGCAGATTCAATGTTACGGTTTAGGAGCTTGCATTTTAGGGATTTTGGGTTTAGGGTTTACGGTTTAGGAGTTTGCATGTTAAGGGGTTTTGCGGTTTTGGGTTTGGGCCGTGCCTGATTATGTTAACAAGGATGTTGTTGGTCACCACGAGTGCTATTCCGACGAAGGCGATGCTGATGATGCAGTTCTGGATGCTCATAAACGTGCAGACGAGCACGATAGCTGTCATGATGCGATGGAGACAGGCATGCGTGATGGTGAAGACTGCGATGGTGTCGATGATGTTGGTGGTGAGATGGACGATGCTACTGCTGATGATGTTGATGATAATGAGGATGATGATGATGATGTCGATGGTGGATGATGATGATGGATGATGGATGGATGACGATGATGATGATCAAGACAAGCTCTAAACCCTAAGCCGTAAACCCTAAACCCTTAGAAGAAGGATCAGATACCGATCAGGACTGAGGGTGAGATTCCTTCAGCATGGCCGCCTTGGGTTCACCTCCGCCCTAGGATCACTTATGCACGAACACTAGGTGGCATTTTGCGATTTTTCGAATTTCCCTCATGGTTCCTATAGAGGTACCTAATAGGTTGACAAATACTTCTATTGGCCCCCAACCTGTTAAAACACAGCCCAGAAATCGCCACGGTGATGGTTCGTGCTTGGCCTCTGTATTTTCCATATCCCCAGCCCTGAATTCAACCCATAAATAAGGCGCCTTTAGCAGGTCTTTCCCTAGGGGCAACACAGCCTCCCGAGACTTTGGGCCATGTCCGCCAGGCCGAAGAACGGCCTCCAGCACCGGAGTCACCGCGGCTGGGGCCGGCAGCACCAGCATCACCGTGGCTAGAGGCGGAGACGGCCAAGTCCGAGGCAAGAGTTGCGTTTCAAAGCCCCAAAGCCTACCCCGCCCCCCAAGCCCTCTTCTATTTGTGAAGGGCGCCATACCTCCGAAGACTTTAACTCCGCCTAAAACCTTTGTAGTAAGAACCGAAGCCGTTGAGGTTTAGGGTGTAGCGTCTCGATTGCTTGAAGGTTCAGGCCACTCAGTAGCTAGGGTTATACTGAAGGTAAATCTGTTTTTTTAGTTGTGAACCCCACTTACGACGGACCATACTTATAACCACATTTACTAAGTCCCAGGATCCTCCAAGGAAGGTTTTCGGAAGCCCAGGCATATGAGCGACCGTGGCGAGCGAACAACGAGTCAACGGTCTCCATCAGCAAGGCAGATCGTCGCACTTTGGGCAAATACGCCGAGGCCCCCTTTGTTTAGGGTTTAGGGTTTTACTAGTAGTGCTGGCAACATAGTTCGTTGACAAAAGCGGTGTTACATGGGTTCTGGATCTGTTTTGCACTCATATTGAGGTCGAAGGGGTCAGCTCTCGTCTGAGGCACGAATTCCCAAAGGGTCCAAGTACCTAATAATCATAAACTCCCATATATAAAGCTACATAACCACTATCCTAAACCCAAGTATCTGATTATTTGGTCCTTTGGACCTTTGGGAATTAGGGTTTAGGACTTGAGCAAGTCTTTGCAAGGCTGCCGGGCTCGGAGGCGGCTTAGGGCTCGAGGCCTTCGCCGAAGATCTCATACCCTACTTGGAGGGTCGGGGGACTTAGTAACTGGTTATTTTAGGGACTTATAAGTACCATAACCCCAATTAGGGTCCCTTTTAGGGTACTTATAAGTCTACTTACTACCTACTTACTAAGTCCCCCGACCCTCCAAGTACCTGGACCCTGAAGAACCTACCTGTTTGCGTTCCTTAGTATGAAGTCCTGATTGCGGGGGTCAGGTAACCCCCTAAAAAACCCTGAACCCTAAAACCTAAACCCTCAACCAGAAACCCTAGCCTAGGTTATCCGGGGTTAAGGTAGACGGTTTATAGGGTTTAGGGTTTAGGATGTAGGGTTTAGGGTTAAGGGCTTATAGGATAAAGGGTTTAGGGTTTAGGGCTTCAGGGTTTAGGGCTTTAGGGTTTGGGGTTTAGGCATGAGAACTGGAAGCAGGTGGACGTGGACATCGTCCGGGGCATCTCGCTGCGAGGGTCGCTGTCAGGTGTGGTTGTCGAAACTTGATATTTGTTGTTTGGGCTTGTGTAGTTCATACCATGCAAGGGGTTAAGTTAGTTTGTTGTTTAGACTGACTAAGCGTCAGTAGATTCTTCACCGGTTTCAGTGATTTGGTGTCTAATGGATAGTGTCGCCTTGGACATGACCATTTCTCAATCCTCTTATGTTAGGTTTACGGTCTCGCAAGTCGGAAAGTTTGGTGTTGTTGGGCTTTGTGTTGACGGTGCAAAGCTCGGTGAGTTGTATAGAAAGCATCGCATCTGCGAATGCCGGCGAAGGCCTCTTAAACCCTGAGCCCTCAACCAACAGCCGTAAGCCCTACAAACCCATTGGCTTACACCGTAACCCCTAAACGTCCTTGAACCCTAAGCCCAAATTCCAAAAGCAAAACCCCGAAACCCTACACCCCAAACCCTGGATCCTGGACTTTACAGTTTCTTTCAACACTTCGTGGTGTTTGGGCTTGAGGGTCAAGGGTTCGGGACTTAGTGTTTAAGTTTTTTGGGGGTCGTCTATAATCCCTATACACTCAAAACGGTTAACCGTGAGTTCCCCATGATACCCGACAAGAAGGAACAGCACTTCAGGTGGTGGACGCATCTGGCGCTACAGCCCGGACACCTGGCGACTTGGCTAATGTAGACCTGAAGATGTGAAGATGACCCCGTAGAACAGGGAGCCTGCTTTACGGTTAGGGGTTCGAGGGTTGAGGGATTTATATAGCGATTTAGGTTTAGGGATTTGGGGTTCAGGGATTGAAGGTTTCGGATGTAGAAGGAGTTGTATCCGAACTGCCCGACTTCAAGAAGTTCTCCTAGAGCCCTAAGACTGTTTGGCAACACCCCAGCAAATCAGCCACGACACCTAGAATCCTACAATCCAACTTCCCTAGTGCTGTGGGGATTTCAACAGCTACGTGACCCTCATTTAGTGCCTTTTGTCTGCAACGATCCTTATTGCATAGAAGGGACGGACATCCGCTCGAGCTTTTATTGCTTAAAGCTCAACCTTAAACACCTGACCCTAGACTATTGTTGCTGAGCTGAAGGACCCTTGCTGACCGGATGAGTCTTTACGAGATGTCGGAGAAAGTGTCTCGTCCTGGCCAGTAAGCCGTGGTGTAGGCTTTACAGTTTAGGGCTCAGGGCTTAAACCCTACACCCTAAACCCTACACGCTAAACCCTAAACCCCGGTCATTGCTGTCTAGCAAGCCGGGGTTTGAGGTTCAGAGTATGTCGCGAGTTCGACAGGGCTGAGCCTTCATGGTTTAGGCTTTACTAGGGTTTAGGGTCTTAGGGTTTTAGGGTTTAGGGTTTTAGGGTGTTTTAGGGGTGTAGGCTTTAGGGTTAAGGGTTTTAGGGTGTTTTAGGCTTTTAGGCTTTAGGGTTTAGGGAAAGGTTCTGGAGGGCTGAGCTTGCCTCTCTCACTTGCTCTGTTCTTTCTGTACTGCCTCGCCTCAAAGCATCTCGGTGAGGAATTTCCGGGAGCCCTTTAGGCCTGCTTAGGCCGTACCCACCCTTTTTCTTAGGGTGCCTGGACCCAGAAGGAAATCCGGCAGTGATTGACACCAACTCTGGATGGACAATGGGTGGAGCCATTGGAGAATGGTCGAATTCAGCCCCTAGGGCTGAGCCAAGCCATTAGGCCCCTTGCGTGGCGCCCATGCAGAGGGAATTCCCTCCAATCTCAAGAGATCCAAGTACAATAAACCCGACGACCAAATCCCTTGGTGGTGTTTCCCATTTGGCTCCCTTCAGAAAAGGCCCCAGAGGCCGGCCCAGGGGGCACCCCAGCTGGCAGATTCCAGGGATTCGGGGGGCTCCTGGCGGGTCGTAGGGGGAGATGTGGCGTCTTGTCTGCCCTTTCCTTGCTTTCCTGGCGTAAGCCCTGCCCCTCCTGGCCCCCCTTGGCCCCCCCTGCCCCCCCCTCGCCCCCTGCCTGGCAACCCGGCCCATCTGTGTTTGTGCCTCTCCTTTTTCCGGCTTTCCTGGCCCCAGCAGACAGACCAGGGGCAGGTGGGAATTGAGGGCGTAAGCCCTAAACCCTAAAAGGCAAGATTTTGGATGGTAGCCTGTGTACTCTCACAGCGGGTGGGAAAAGGTTAGGAACCAATGTGTAATTGTTTGGTGGTGGAATCGCATTCGAAGATATGCCGCCCCCCCACACCCCTGGGAGTGTTGGGGCGCCATCCTACATTGAAAATACTGCCGCTGCGTGGCGAGACGCCCTATACCTTAAACCCGGAACCCTATATTGTGGAATCCTGAAAGGTCATTAGTATTAATTCCTCATTTTGGGCTCCGGATGAAAACACCACCATAACTGCACATACCCCGAATCCTTGTTCTGATGGTGAAGGTCCTAACCACTGAACCCTTAACCCTAAACCACGGATACCTTTGTGGATGCAGCTGTGGATGCAGCACTTCTCACGAACTTCGAGGTCCCAGAACCAAGGCCCCTAATCCTGCAGGGTGTTGCGCTTAGGGCGTTTTTTGAATGCAGTTCGGAACATATCAAGGGTATTCAAGGGTTTAGGGTTTGCCATGTGTTTTTTCGTCATACAAGCTTTCAGCCAAACCTTCTATAGTCACCCAAACTGGGTTTCGGGCTATAGCACATTATGGGGCACAGAGTGTGATCTAAAGCTCCTAACCCACTTGGGCCCTGTAAAATCTCGCAGTTTGAGCACTTGGCGCACAACAAGCAGAGCCCATTGCTTCATCTGCTTTCCGAGGCTTGCAACATCGTATCCGATAGAAGGATATGGGTACTGGTTAGAGGCGTTTGAGTTAGCGGCCCCTAAACCCTAAACCCCAACTGTAATAGTAAGGTGAGACCCTACTGCGGACCCTAAACCTCCAGCCCTATGGCCCCAAGCCCAGGGATCGAAACGGGCCCTAAACCCTGGACCCGAAACTCTGCACTTCAGGCCGCCATGCTCGAGGGTTTAGGAAGTTTAGGGTTTAGGGTAGACTCTGCTGGGTCATAGTTTGGTAACTTTTTACATGTATATGAGTACTTAAACCCAATAGGGAACGACACTGATGATGTGTAATCCTATCCCTACAACGAACGAGTCTAGATGCCTGGCCTTCAAAAGAAGCTTACAAGACCCCTTGAAGATCCACTTATACACCTCCTTCGAAAAGCCCTTCATAAGTTCCTTGAAGGAATCCGTGGTTACACACCTACACCCTAAACCGCTAAGCTATTATAAAGCCCAGGATCATAAACCCTAAACCGTAAAACCTAAGCCCTAAACCCTAAACCCTAAACCAACCTAAAGCCACAACAAAGCCTAAACCCTAAACCCTAAACCCTAAACCCTAAAACCCTAAACCCAAGCCGCAGGCTTCACATTTTCAAGTTTTTTTGTCCCATACCTGGTCAACCCCGGGAAGATGGAAAGCCACTTGGACAATTTGGGGCTCCTTTCAGGTTTCGGCTTCACAGCCCCTAAACCCTAAACCCTAAACCCTAAACCCTAGCTAGCCCGTAAACCTTAACAGGCAAGCCACTTGAAGTTTGAAGGGCTATTACGGCCTTAAGGGTTCCAAAGAGGTCCTATAAGGGGGTTTAGGTGGGTTTGGGGTTTAGGGGTCGTTATTCTCAGGAGCCAAACCTCTGTTCATGCAAGTTTGGGCTAATCCTCAACCTGGGGCTTTTCATTTGGTATGAGGTGTAGAGTTTGGGGCATCGGGTTCAGGGTTTATGGCGAATGAGGGTTTGGGGCATGTGCCTTTAGAGTTTAGGGGTTGAATACCTAGGCAGACAGTGTTCGGGTCGCTGAGAGCTTGGTAGGGTTTAGTAAGGACGCCGCCTCCATCAAAAAGGAAAGACAAGAGAGAGAGAGAGAGAGAGAGAGAGAAAGCGGGTGGAGAGGGAGAGTGTGTGTGTGTGTGTGTGTGTGTGTGTGTGTGTTATGTATGTATGAATTACAAAATAAGTAGTATATGTGTACATCTATATATATATATTTGTTTTTCATATGCGTGCTGCATTGCATACTGAGATGTGGTTGCAAGCCTGGGTGGATCTTGACAGAGGGGGTGGCAACATACTACGGGGTGTGTGTAATATGTACATGTGCAGAACTGTACATATAGAATTTATACATGTTTACATATGTACACATGTGTGCGTAAAAATTCACATACAGATGTGTATATCCATATCTATATCTACATCTATACCTATATCTATATCTGTATCTATATCTACATCTGTACATATATATATATGGGCGCGTGGTCATTCCCCCACCCCTACACTTCAGCATCTTCGGTATTGCTCCCAATACAATACAGTGCGAAGGGTGCGCAGTCATGCCCCATACCGCGAAGTACGGTATAATTATAAGCCCATATATTTCAAAACACATGAAAGAAAATATGGCACATACACGGTTCTAACAAAATTACGCATAAGATGCCCCATACCACGAAGTATGGTATAATTATAAACCGATATATTTCAAATCACATAGCAGAAACTATGGCACATACACGGTTCAGAGTATATAACATACAATATCTAGGAGGTGTGCAGTATTTCGTGCGACACAATGATATAAGACAGAATGTACTCTAGCATGATAGAATACTGCTTTTTTCCGTATGGCATTCGCCACGCTATATCTGATGGTCGTAGACTGTATTGTGTCACATAGAGCATGCATCTGGTTGTCAGATACTTTTTCTTTTCAGGTTACATCACATCAAAATGTTTACTGTACCATGCCAACTTAAGTCGTGCTGTATTGGAGCATAACATGTTCTATCATGGACTACGTTATATTGTACTATACGATTCTATTCCAGTGTATAGCATCAGCCGTTACATCAAGTATTTTGCAAATGAAAAATAATGTGAAATACTGAATCATACCCAGATGTTTAACATAGATACGACGCGGTATAGGGTGAGATGACCTAATATAACCAAGCCTTTGGTACCACATGTAATATACTCTCATGTTGTATAGCCCATTATGATCTGTGTCTAACTCAAAATAACCCATGCATCAAAAGATGGTACAACACAATGTTTGGAAGAATATAGTATCAGTAGCAGACCATCATATGCCGCACAGCATGATAGGATACCATTTGTTGGGCTTATGTATGATAACAACTATGTAGAATGCAACTTGTAACAAAATTACGCATAAGATATCTGTATAGTAAAGCATAGTGTAGGAAAGAAGAGTATAGTGAACTGTAAAAGTTTAGTGTAGATCACAATGTAGTATACTGCCTAGAAAATAGCGTATACTAGAGAGCATAGTACATGACATGGTATGTATTATGTGTCTCCTCGAGCTCATGGAATAGTCTTTCGTGCAGAACAAGTACATTGTACACTAACGCCTATGGTTTATAGTCTAGTCTGCAATATAGTCTGTAGTATAGTATTATGGTGTATAGTATAATCTGCAATATCGGTCTGTAGTATAGCCTAGAGCCGACAGCATGGGCTACAGTAGATACCAGTTCGGTTTCGTATATAGTTGACAGCATATAGATGCTACATAGTACCACACAGTCGTATGCATTTGCAAAATCTTCAGCCACTGTGGGATAGGGAGAGAAAAGTATATTTTGAACCATATGTAAAACAAGACAACATAGTTCAATATGATCTAATGGAATAGGTCATGAATTACTGATCCTTAAGGCTTTCGGTGCTTTGACTCTTGACAACTTGGTGAAGCGAACTGGGCATCAGTTTGTTGTGCTGTCAGTTCTCACACTCGTAATGCCAGAGGCCTGATCATACTCTTATATATATATATATATATACATAGCTCGCTCTGCTTGGAACAACTGTCAGTTTACGTAACATTTAACCTGTAGCGGGCTATAGCTAGGCGTGAGTTTCGAAACACAGCGTATGTTTCGAAACACGCGCCTGCCACGGCCCCAACCCAGTATGTAGCCCATTAACACATTGACCCGTTGACTCATTGACCCATTAACCCATTAACCCAATCATTCTGGCCAAATGAACTTGCCTTAACCCGTTAACCCGTTAACCCGTTAACCCATTAACCCATTAACCCGATCATTCTGGCCAAATGAAATTGCCTTAACCCATTAACCCAATCAGTTGCCCAATCCATTAACCCATTGACCCAATCATTCTGGCCAAATGAAATTTCCTTAACCCATTAACCCATTAACCCAATCATTCTGGCCAAATGAAATTGCCATAACCCATTAACCCATTAACCAAATGGGTTAATGAGTTAAGGAAATTTCATTTGGCCAGAATGATTGGGTTAATGGGTTAATGGGTTGGGCAAATGATTGGGTTAATGGGTTAATGGGTTGGGCGACTGATTGGGTTAATGGGTTAATGGGTTAAGGCAATTTCATTTGGCCAGAATGATTGGGTTAATGGGTTAATGGGTTGGGCAAATGATTGGGTTAATGGGTTAATGGGTTGGGCAAATGATTGGGTTACTGGGTCAATGGGTCGGGTTGGGGCCTCCTACGGATATGTTTCGAAACAGACACTAGTTTCGAAGCCAGGTAGCAGAATCCATGAATATAAAAGAAAAGTTGCAGAAATGCAGGGGTGGGGGAATGACTACCTACCCATATATATATATATATGCGTGTAAGTGTGTATGTAAGTAGATACGTATGTTTGTGTCTAGATACGTGCATACACGTGTACAGTATTATTAGGGCTCAAGTATCTTTGCAAGGATCTAGCATGGTTTGTGCATTGGTGAAGTTTGGCGATCTTATCTTATCTTTGATGGTTTGGGTTTCCGAGCACCCTAGCATTCTTAAGGGGAGCCCCTGAGAACCGTTTTTTTCCTTGTTCCCTATCCGGGACCCAGCAGCGAAGCCCACATTACCTGACTTGGCCTGCCCGATGCCCCTACTTAAAGGATGATGACATATGAGTATACATAGTTACTTTAATTATGGCTCTTTGTTGTGATCCGGCATGTCTATCCTTGCTGAATAAGTCTCCTGATCCTCCAAGCAGCTCCAAGCAGGCCCCCTGAAGTAACAATACGAATTGGGTTTCTACTGTTTCTACCACGAAGCCTAAACCTTATAAGCTCTGCTACACTCTAAACCCTCGGCCAAGACTAACAAGGATTATTATACGGTTTCCTGTAGCCGGAGATCTTCTGAGGGTTGAGGATCCATGTGTAAGGGCTTTTCGGCTGGTTCAGATTCCAGAATGGAAGAAGTTTCTTGGTGGTTTAGGGCTCATATTCGGGATTTCTGCACCGACAAAGTGCTACGCCTCTCAAAAATCCAGACGCTCGGCCAGACTTGCATTTAGGTGGTCTCATTGTCTTTGCAGTGTGGCTGGCACTACATTCTCCTTTGCTGGTGCCTGTCCATTGCCCTGTGCACCGGCCTCTGTATGGCAGACGTCCTGCCGATGCCTCTCAAGTACAAGGCAGGATTGCTGTTGAATCAGGATTTGATAACTTAGGAACCCATTAAGAAATTTGAACCATCGAATTTCGGCTTAGAGCTTCGGACTTCAGTTCTGAGGCTGCTGCTAGGGTTTGGGGGTCCAGTCTTCGTGATTTCAGGCTCCCTGAGTGTTGCTGGTAAAAAGCGTGGTGCTTTTTGGAGCACCTTCAACTCTCAAATATGTTGTTTTTTCTCAGAGGGCTTGATCGTTGCGGGGATACGAGGTGCCGTGTTTGTGGTTTGAGAATCTACCATCAATCGGACTGAGTGTTTTGGCGGTAGTAGTAGCAATAGTAGTAGTAGTCGTCGTCGTCGTAGTACTACTACTACTACTACTACTACTACTACTACTACTACTAGTAGTCCTACTGCTACTACTACTACTGCTACAACTATTACTACTACTGCCACTGCTTGTGCTACTACTACTACTACTACTACTACTACCACTACTACTAATACTACTACTACTACTACTACTACTACTACTACTACTACTACTACTACTACTACTACTACTACTACTACTACTACTACTACTAGTCCTACTGCTACAACTATTACTACTACTGCCACTGCTTGTGCTACTACTACTACTACTACTACTACTACTACCACTACCACTATCACCTACCACCACCACTACCACTACTACTACCACTACCACTACCACTACCACTACCACGACCACGACCACGACCACGACCACGACCACTACCACTACCACTACCACTACCACTACCACTACCACTACCACTACCACTACCACTACGACTACTACTACTACTACTACTACTACTACTACTAATACTACTACTACTACTTTTACGACAACAACAACTACTACTACGACAACAACAACAACTACTACTACTACTACTGCTACTGCTACTGCTACTGCTACTGCTAGTACCAGTACCAGTACCAGTACTAGTACTAGTACTAGTACACCTAGTACTAGTACTAGTACTAGTACTAGTACTAGTACTAGTACTAGTACTAGTACTAGTACTACTACTACTACAACTACTACTACTACTACTACTACTACTTCTACTACTACTACTACTACTACTACTACTACTTCTACTACTTCTACTACTTCTACTACTTCTACTACTTCTACTACTACTACTACTACTACTACTACTTGTACCACCATTTCCATTACCATTACTACTACTACTCCTCCTCCTACTACTGCTACTACTTCTGCTACTATCACTGGTGCTAGTACTAATGGTCGCGGTAGTGATTGTGATAGTGAAGAAGGTGTAGAGGAACAACGGACACAACGAATTTGAATACTCAGGGCACGTTGGGGAGCTTGCGGATTACAGCCTTAGTTGTTTCGCAACGACCCACCAACAACTATGCCCTGATAGTTGGTCCGTTTGATGCCCATCCTTATGGCTTTCGTTCGGTGCTTCTTCGGGTTCACTTTGACGGGCGTTCCTTATGCAAGGCGTTTGGGAGTTTCATTACCCAATAGACATGGCTGAATAGAAAGTAATAATGTAGCCGTTACATGCCTGTATACTATAAAACACCCGAAAACGCTACCCCAATACTTCCATTGATTGGGGGTTTGATAATGCCCACGGAATGGAGAACCTGAGCCTAGCAAGGCGAACATCATGGGTTTTACCGACCTTTGCCCCATGGGCCTCTTGGATGACACTCATTACCTGGAACCCCAAAAGTATGTAAAATAATGGCCCCAAACCTATAAAAAGGCCATTATTCTACATACTTTTGGGGGTCCAGGTACTCAGGATCAGAATATATTCAGAGTCAGGCTGTAGGGTCTTGCTATTCAGGGATTCTTGAGGGCCAGCATTTTGGCAGTGTTGACCCTTAACCCAAAGCCCAAAATCGTTGAGGGTGGATGTTAGGGTCCGTAGTTTCCTGAAACTGCCTCAAGCTTCACTTGCTGGGTTCTTGTTGAGGAACTTAACATAAGTGGCCATAGTAAGGATTTCAAGCAAATAAACATGACTTCTTTCTCATAGAGCCCCAACTACCCTCCATTGTACCCTAAATACGCCTTGTTGAGGACCATAAGGGCTCTATTGAACGGCCCTTGAAGTGGTCCTGCTCGTGGTGAAGAGTTGGAGGGGCACTACACTAACAGTGACAGTGCAGGGCTTTTTAGTTTAGGGTTTGGGTTTAGGGGTCAGGGTTTAGGGGTTTAGGGGTTTAGGGTTTAGGGTTTTCTCAAGCTGAGATGGTGCGAGTTTTGAGTTTGGCAGCCTTTGGGTTGTGAAGTGGCTGCTTGCAGTAAACCGTAAAAGCCCTCAACCGCTTACTATCCTAGGACCTAGAGTAGGCCCTTATTCCCTTTTTTAGGGTTCAGGTGCCCTTATAAGTCCCTTGAAACCAAAAAGGGCACCCTTTTTATTCCTAGGTTACTCTTGGGTCTAGTATCATGTCGGGGGCTCTTTGAGGATGGACCTCTTTCCCTACCCATTGGGTCGACTTGCCCATTTCGTAAGGTTTAGGGTTTAGGGTTATTCTTTGGCCTTTAAGTACCCGTTTAGGGACTGCTTTGAGGTCTACGTCTTGCTGTATAATATGGGTACATGGACTCTTAGGACTATCTTGCCGAGCACTCCACACAGCCCCAAATGGATTCGCTATGGACTATCGACCCCAAGTTAGGCGTGCAAACATGGCGTCTCAGGGATTCACACCCTAAACCTTAAACCCTAAACCCTAACAGGTGATCTCGATCTTTCTAAGGTCAAGGCCTCAAACACTACCTAAACGCTGCTCCCTAAAATCTCTGAGCCGAAGTAGCCGAAGCCCTTTAGGACTAAACCCCCCGCAAATAGGGTTTAGGGTTTATTAAGCCTTATCTCCCATTATGATGAATCCAGCAAGGATCCTTCTCTCAGGACATTTGCTTAGAAAGAGATGGTGGGTTTGCACTGAGCGGTCCGCATTTCCCCACAATTTACTGCAGCAGCCCCTGAATGCCTGAGCTGCTTCTGCTTCCACTCTTGCCCAGGCTTTTGGAACGTGCTTGTCAGTGGCTTCGCCACCGTGGCCGGCATGATATCTGTCCCGTTTTGGCCCGCCAGGTGCCGGTTTGAAGATAGGGTTACCTGGACCCCCAAAAGTATGTAGAATAATGGCCTTTTATAGGTTTTGGGCCATTATTTTACATACTTTTGGGGGTCCAGGTAAGGGTTTAGGTCGATTTTTCGGTTTTAAGCTTCGGGGCCTTGTTGCCCGTAGGCCCGGTGCCGGGAGGCTGATAGAAACTGCGTGCCCTGAACCTTAAATCCAAGGGTAAAGGGAGGGACTCTTAAGAAGGACCCCTAGGTAATATAACCTTAATATAGCTATTATATACCCATTATATAGCCCGTTATAGGCTAGGGGTCCCCATTAAGGGTCCCTCCCTTTGCCGCTTGATTAAACCCCTAACCTTAAACCCCGCTTGAGCCTAAAGAAGCCAAGGTCTGAACCCAACGACCCCAAACTCGAAGCCTAAGCCGGTAAACTCCAAGTTCTAAAGCCACCACTGCAGGACCCAGGGCCTGCGACAGCCGAAGCCCTTTGCATTAAATCCCCAGGGGTTTGGGGTTTTTCGTTTACAGTTGATTTAAATCCTGCATGACAGATAATAAAGAATACATAAGTCCCTTTGTGTTTAGGGTTTAGGGCTTAGTGCATGATTTACATCATCAGGGGTTTGGGTTTGGGGTTCGATCCCTCGAAGATGCAAATCTCTGGTCGTAGCAGAACTCAAAGGCTCAGGAGACTTAGTAATCATAGGGTTCCTTGAATGGGGATTACTAGAAGGGTTCCACAATAGGGATTTCAAGGGTACTTAAGTGATAATGGGACTTAGTAAGTAGGTCTATAAATCAGGTAACTATACTTATACTTATACTTATAGTTACTTTCAAATCCAACTAACTACGACGCTTGCAACCTTACTTAGTAAGTCCCATGATCCTGCAAGTAGTAGCCGTCGTGGTCGTCGACAATCATGAACCATTGTGCATACAGTTTGAAGGCCATTGTCGCTGCTCATCTTCCTGGAAACCCTCCACGAACCTTATCCTCTAAGCCCTAAGCCGCAAGCCCTTAACAGCACATATCCCAAACTTGACTACGCCCCGTATAAACCCTAAACCCCAAATATCACAAGCAGGTGTTCGCGCTCGGATGTCAGCTTCGTGGATGTGACCTGCATCCACCAGGTAAGGCAGAGTGTTAGTGGTGGCGGTTTGGAGTTTAGGGTCTAGTCGTGTGCATGCATACCCTCGTAGGGATTCGCGACATAGTATTCAGCATACTTTCTTGGGAGATCTTTGGAGGTTCGTAAATCAGAGTTCTAGTCCTTCGGCTCCCGATTAGGACCCGGTTTGGTGCTGGAAGGCTAGCCCTAAACCATGAACTACCCTAAACCCTAAAACGGTTAGGGTTTAGGATTTAGGGTTTAGGGTTTAGGGGGCCCTAAACCCTAAACCTTGATTAGCTGTTCCGGGTTTGTGGAGACTTTGGCCTTAGGCCCGAAGCAGTGTTGCTAAACTATACAGCCTTCAGGGTTCAGGGTTCGCGCGGCTGAAATTGAAAGCAGATGATATAAATCCTGCATGACCCAGAATAAGGAATATACCATAATTCCCACAGTGTAGGGTCCTTAAGGTACTGCAGGATTTATGTACATCAACAACGGCAGTTTGTGCAAGTAGAAGCACTTCTGGGCTTGAGCTTTGAGGCTGGACTGCCATGAAGTTTCTAGCTGAACCTACATGTGCACTCCGATTTCCGTAACGGTGTTGGGTTTCGGAAGAATATGCTTGCCGGTTTGGCGTTTTTTTTGACACTCCCAAGAGGGTCCAAATACACTACTATGATGGAATGAGGTCCCAAAACTCTTATTGGGATGGTCTTTTGGGGCCTAGTTCCGTAATAGTAGTATATATTTAGGGTTTAGCGTTCTGAACCCCGCAGAAGCCGCTTTCTGAACCGTGCCCAGCAGGTTGACCAAGAGTTGAAGGAGCGCGGAGTCTACGGAATTGCCGGGTTCCTGTACCTCAGCTGGGTTTTGGGTTTCAGGGTTTAGGCTTTAGGGCTTAGGGTTCAGCTGAATGCCACAGCTTCCTGCTAAGGGCAACTCTAGGACTCGTGATTCTGGGGCGTTAGGAATATTTTAGAAAGATATTGTACTATGTGATAATGTTTTGCATTTTACTAGACAGCATTAAAGCATGTCAGATCATAGTGTCTTGTATTCTTTCATGTCATATTGCACCTTGACAACATTTTTCCCGATGTATCATGCTTTGCTGTATTCTTAACTTGCGACACCGCATTCTATTGTAGTGTACTATCTATACGTATATGTTGGTTTCTTATGTATTGCAAGTCTACACATCTGTACTATAAACCACTAATGTGTGTTTAGTTTTCGGTTACCACAACCTAGATTGGTACATGTGTGTATTTATGCATGCATCTTCTGCATAATGTGGTATGTGTTAGGTATTACGACATTATGTGATGATCCGTGAATATGATATTATGTATGGTATACTGTGTGTATATGCTTTTTCGATTATATATAGTATGTTAAAACATATGCATGACATGACAAGACATGATGTAGTAGATATTCTATATGGTAGATTGTCCAGGCTTGTTTTTACCTTATGTGTTATGTAACATGTACTAGAACTCACATGTTGTATCGTATTGTACTGTATCATGGGTAAGCACAAAAGGGTCCTCTACGTTGAAGGTTTAGGTTCAGGGGTTTAGGGTTGAGGGTTTAGGAATTAGAGGTTGAGGGTTTAGGCTTCAGAGGGTGCACTGCCGAGTAAAAGGGGGCAGCAAGCTCTGCGGGTGTACTTGGAGCCCTAATTGGGGTAACTCCATTTAGGGTACTCATAAGAAGACTTTTCCGCGCGAGCCGCACACGCCCCCACTAACCAATACTGTTTGAGGCATCAAGGCCGCAAGGTTTAGGAAATTGCATCCCATGCAGTTAATTCCGTTATCAGTATGCGGACCGTTTGCACCTTCGGTACATGTCCTACGCAGTCATGTTAGGACAGATCAACGGTGGACTCGTGCTACACACTTCGGCTCAAGTAAAGCAACCCTGAACATCGAATATTGATTACAACCAATACAAACCTTATATTTTAGATTGATTTTGATTTTGGCCTTTTCGATTGATTAAATCAGTACAGGATATATTGATTTTCAGCGCTTTCGATGTTCAGCGCTTTCTATATTGATTTGGATATACATGTTGCATATTGATGTTGCAGATTGATTTCAGAATGCTTTCCAAATTGATTTTGATAGGCAGGTGGTCATGCTGCTATGCGACAGCATCAGGGCTCAAACCCATCCGGGGTCCGGCACAGGCCCTTTTTGTTTATGTTCTGTTCTGTTGCGGACAGTCGGTCTTCTGGCCGCCCGTTTTGGGCGGCGCGGGGAAGTGCGTCCCAAAATTGCATGCATTAAATTCTGGCCCTAAACCCTTATTGTTTAGAAATTGTACAGAGAAAGCCTAGCTGGCTTTTTTGAGAGTGGGCAGAGAAGCCTTGTGAAAGGTTGACGGCCGGAAGTTGTGGGGCCAAGCACAAGGACAAACCCATGGTGGAGCACGAAATGCTGAAGGATTTAGGATTGAGGGCTTAGGGTTTATATAGTTGGGTTTATGGCTGTATATATATATATATATGGATGCATGTAACAGGTTTTCAAGCTTTGGGATTCGGCGGTTTGGGGATTCTGGGTTTTAGGGGATTCTGAATTGTTTTGGTGTTGGAGCCCGCCCTAAGCCCGAAACCCCTACACTGAACCCGACAACTTAAACCTGAACCCCGGCGGCCGAAGCTTGAACTCTAGACCCCCAAACCTGAAGTCGGGAAGCCTTGCAAAAGGCTTGCAATTTGCATTTGGTCTACACAGAATTATATATAGGTATAGTTATTTATTTGTTTTTGGTTTGTTTGTCTTATTTCTACTACTTCTTTAGGCTTAACTTGTTAGGGTTTTAGGTATTGGGGTTTCGGATGTTTGGGATTGAGGATTAAGAGTCTAAGGAATTTAGGCTTTAGGATAAAGTGTTTTAGGTTAGTAGGTTTCGGTGCTAAAGTTTTAGGATGTAGGGTTTAGGATTTTATGTTGTTAGGGTTTAGGGCTTCCGGGTGTGAACTGTAGTATAGAATTTGGGTTCTAAGATTAGGGTGTTTGGGGATTTTACACACACACATATTCAGATAAACGTGAATAAAGTTTATGTAAATGCATATTAATATTTGTGTATATTATGTTTTTGGAATTTAGCGCTAAATAAAGAATAGCGCTACATGCTGCACTAGGTTTATGAATTAGATACTTAATTATATTATGAAAATACGACTTATAAAATTTGTCTTACACGGTAAATACTTGAATTGTATTTGTTTTCAAGAATATTTAGAAAGAAAGTTGAAATATGATGAAAAAGGATGAACACCAAAGATTTCATCATGTTTCATATTTACCGAAATGTTTTTGAAAAATATTCATTTATTTCAGAAATATTTAGAAAAAATGAAAACAGATGAAATATGATGAAACAAAATGAGATATGATGAAATTTGATCAAAACCGAAGATTTCATCATGTTCCATCATGTTTCATCATATTTCATATTTTTCTATTTTGAAAGCCGAGATTTATTTATTTCCGAGATAGTTAGAATAAATGAATATAGGTGAAATATGACGAAACAAGATGAAATATTATGAAATACCATGAAAACCAAAGGTTTCATCATATTTCATATTTTCTCAATACTAATAATTTGAAAATATGAAATATGATGAAATATGATTAAATCTATGGTTTTCATCATAAATCAGATTTCTCTACATATTTTTGAAAAACAGTTTATGTATTTCAAAAATAGTTCGAATATGAAATATGATGAAACAAGATGAAATATGATGAAAACCAAATATTTCATCATATTTCATCATATTCCATCATTTTTTACATTTTTTTTGAATATAAGTTGTTAATTTCAAGAATATGTAGAAACATATGTAAAATGATCAAATATAATGAAGTATGATTAAATATGTTGAAATATGATGAAACATAATGAAATCCATGGTTTTCATCATATTCCATCATCTTTCATCTTGTTTCATCACATTTCATGTTTTTTCTAAATATTTCCGAAAAAATGTAATTGTTTCTCAACATGTTCTTACAGTTATTATTTTACCTTCAGATATTGTAGAATAATACCTGATGATGTAGTACATACATTAAACTAAGAAATATTACAGCAGCCTTTCAATGCTTCAGAATATATTTTCGACATATGAAGATAACCTCAGCCCCACATTCAACCGTACATTAAACCCTTAACTAAACCTCAACCCCAACCTTGACCTCAAACCTGACCTGAACTTCAACCCCAGCCAAAACTGAACCCTAAACTAAACCCTTAAAAACACCTTAAACCAAATTCTGAACGAAACCCTATAAACCATACCCTAAATCCTCGATGAACTTGAACTAAACCTTATAGTGCCTAAACTAAACCCTAAACTATACCTTGATCTAAACCCTAAACCCACCCCTAAACTCCAAACCCAACCCTGAACCCCAACCCTAAATTCCCAACTGAAGCTTAATCTAAACTCTGAACGAAACCCTCAACGCAACCCTAAAGTCTACACCAGAGCATAAGCTGAATCTTAAACTAAACCCTACACTAAGTAATTAAACACCGAATTAAACCCTAAACTGAACCCTAAACGAACCTCTAGACCAAACCCTACACCAAGCCCTAAGCTAAACCTCAACCTTAACCTCGACCTCCCTAACCTCATCAGCTCCCAGCCGAACCCTAAACTCAACCCTCAACCAAACCCTTGAAAAAACTTTTCCGACCTCCACCTGTGTTGATTTAGAAGCATGTCATATATTGATTTCAGGTTGATTGTTGCCACAAATACTATATTGTAGATTGATTTCGTCACCACATGAAATCAATTTGTTCATATTGATTTTACACCGAAATCAATCCGGTGTAGCCCCGTATTGATGGTAATCAATATTCGATGTTCGGGGAAGTGCTCGCGATTGCTTGTGATTGCTTGTATTGTAACAAGACGGGTTCCTTCGTGTTCAACTGGGTAAAAGCCGTCGTGTAGGGTGAGTCTAGGACCCGTTGCAAGCCATAGTGCCCCGCTTGCAGGCCAGTGTCTGTGCATTCCATATCTGCAAGCAAATAGCACAGTTGCGTGAAAGCGGTTCGTCGTAGGTCTAGCAAAGACCAGCTTTTCCTTCATATCCCTTTCCATATCCTGCACTGTTATCTCCTGGGGTTAGAGCCAAACGTTACCGTTGAGATCGTACCCAGAGTCTGCATCGCAGACTGCACTTGCATGTGAAGAACCGAACCGAAGTCTTTCCATCGACACTGGAAACTCCTCACTATCTTTACTTGCCAGGACCTTCGGACTTCCTTTCTGTCCTATTGGTTCCCTGATTATTGGCACAGGAGAGTCTTCAGAGGAAACCGGCTCCTGACATCGTGCCTAGGGCCTCAGACGTATAAGCCTCAACCAAAACCCATGTAGGCCCAAGCCGTGACCCATAAACCTAGACCCATGGAGCTTACCTCCTAGAGCTGCTAAACCCTGAACCCCCTGAACCCTAAGCCAACTCCTAATTTTAAGCCCATAAGCCTTGAACCTAAACCTTGAACCCAGACCCAACCCTAAACCCTAAACCCTAATTCCTAGACCCATGAAGCCTTAAACCCCGACGCGAAAATCTGAACCCAAAAGCTTCGGAGGGTACCCTGACTCCTCCGGGTTGAGGCTTTAGGTTTTAGGGTTTACGCTTTAAGGTTTAGGATTTAGGCTTTAAACGGTTAGGGTTCAGGGTTCTCTATCCCCACCAGAAATCAAAGAGCTAAAACAAGCCCCGACTCTATTGTTTGAGAAGTGAGGTGCATATCTGACGAACTGCGCATTTTATGGAGTACGTCCTACTTGTCCAGGCTGCGTCTCAGGAAGTCAATGAGGGTTCAGCTCTGTAAGTTTGTGGCTTTCGGGTTTAAGGAGTTTCAGGGTAGGGATTCGGTTTGCAGGACCCTTATCACTGGCCATAGTAGTGTGCCTGTACGGTTCAGTAGCGGGCGGTTGCGGATTTGGATAGGGTTTACAGTTTCGGACTTAGGGCGCAGGGATGGGGTCTTATCAGCGGAGGCATCCGGCACATGTTTGTCACTATCAAAATACCCTAAACGCAGCCACTTTATGAAGATCCTGGTCGGCTTCACAGCTTTCATGTTTCCTCTGACAATTCAAGGCACAGAGTCGAGGGTGTGCAGGCATATCAACGGCGATATTCTACAAATCGAAGTAAAGGAAGTTCACGACGACAATCAACAATCACAAAACCAGCACCACCACCAACAACAACAGCAACAACAGCAACACCATCAACAACAGCAACAGCAGCAACAATAAAGCAACGGTTACAATAAAGCAACCACGACAACAATGGTGACATCATCCACAACAACCGTAACAGCAACAGCAACAGCAACGACAGCACCGACGCCAACATCAACGACAACAACTGCCACCACTGCCGCAGCCACCAACACCAGCAACAGCAACGGCACTTGCGCCATCACACCCACAGCAACAGCAAAAGCATGCACCAGCAACCACAACGATGTAAGCAACAACAACAGTAACAGTAACAACAACAACAACAACAACAACAACAACAACAACAACAACAACAACAACAACAACAACAACAACAACAGCAACAGCAACAACAACAACAACAACAACGCGCGGTCGCCCTGTAAACGCGCGCGCGCGGTAGGAAGGCAGACGTGTGTTGATTTTGTGTCTTTGTGCAGGTAGGCAAAAACGTGGCCTGCGTGGGACAAACAGCACATGCTGACATAGACGTCTGTTTGCGTTCATTCCACGTGCAATTGCTCCATAAACGCGCGTCCCCCCCCCTGGCGTCAAAAACGCCCGTTTCGCGCGAGACGTCATTTTTGCAACCTTACGTGTTTTCTTGTTTTTTTGTATAGGAAGAAAAAACGTGGCCTGTGTGGGAAAAGGCACATGCTGACATAGGCATTGGTTGATTTGGATTGGGTGTGCGCGTCTGGTGCTGGTGGCTTGGGTGGGCTGGTGGTCGGCGGTTGAGAGGACTGTCTGATAAAGAAACTATACCAAAACCTTTCTCAACCCTAAACCCTGAAACTTAAGAGCCCTGAAACTTAACAGCCCCGGCACATAACAGCCCTCAGACATGGATGCTTTCCCTCCCGATCCGAGCCGGCACTATTTGTAGTCATGGGTTTGATGATCCGCGGCGTGTGTTCTGCGTTGACCCCAAAAATTGTGATCATCGTGGAATAAGCCTTGGTGGACCGGTTAACCATATATATATATGTATATAATATATATATATATATATATATACATATACATATTATATATATTATATAATATGTGTATATATATATATATAGCTATATATATATATATACATATATATATATATATATATATATATATATATATATTATTATATATTCCATATTATATATATATGTAAGTCCCACAGCCATTGCGAAGGTAAACGACTCTCAAAGCCATCGCCGGGTTCAATGACTGGAAGAAACCCTGTCGTTTAGGGTGACCCTAAACACATAGAAACAATTAATTAATTGCACCCTATACCACTATAAACCCTGAAAGCCTAAACCCCTAAGCCCCTGAACCCCCAAACCCCAAACCCGCAAATCCCTAAACTTTTAAGTCCCTCAACCCCAAACCCCTAAACCCTAAAACCCTGAACCTCTAAACCCGTAAAACCCCAACACCCTAAAACCCTACGACTTGTACATGTAACAGGATATGTACATGTGTACACACACTTTCCACGCTTCCCGGAAACCTGTACACGTACTATTTATAAATCATGATCACATTTCACTGCACTTGCTCGCATCGTTCGGTCGACACCTGTGCTGCTCAATGGCTTCCTGATCATATAATATTTCTACGGTTGCTGCCACTTTTCTGCAAGTAGTTTGCAGGTTGCACAGATTTTTTGAGAAGTGTTCGGGATCTGGAACTGTTTGGCGGGGTATCCAAGGCCACAGCCTTGCACTGCTGGACATTTGGGTTTGCATCTGCTCCGCTTTTGCAATTATGCATGTTCATATACGTGTTTGTAGTTGGGGCCCAGCATGGGGCACAGGGCTGCTTTGGAGATCCGAGGCCATAGCTTTGCACATTGCTGGAGATTGGATCTGGAGTTCACATCTGATTTGGGAGCCGCTTCTGCAAATACACACGTTTTCATCTTTGCATGCATGTGTTTGTCCGCAGTGCTCCATGTTGACTGGGGTCGGCAATCCTTGATGTTGACTGGGGTAGCTGAGGCTACAGCCCCGGCTATATATATATGAGATGGGATCTGGATTTCATGCACATGCGCTGAGCCGGGCGGCACCTCTGATATTAGTGTTCCTCGACGGAGCTTTTAAGCTCTTCGTGCGATATCCGAGGCTACAGGCTTCCCTAGGCCGTGCAGTACGAAGTGCAGCTGGTGGCCGTTTGGGGCGGCGCTTTTGCAAATCATTTCGCTATCGACTGATCCTAAATCGTAGAAAGAGCAAGACAAAAGATCTATGTGTGAATCCGAGGTCATCGCTGCGGTTTTCTTTTCGGAGACCGGGTTGCGACTGGTCTTGATTGCTGCTTGGCCATTCTAACCCTCGGGTCTGGGTGTAATGCATTATGGGATCCGGATATGTTTCAAGCGAGGTCAGGGATGGACCGCGGCTTGGCCACACGTGGCCGTGCTGGTATCTCTTATGCATTTATAAACACACCTGCATGTGCAGGGTTTTCATTCCGCTTCATCCGGGTGCTAAGGCTTTTCTGTTGCTGAGCAGCTGGCTCATTTACGAGATACATCTGAACGATGCCGGTCGCCATCGCCAGTGGGCATTGATTCTGGGCTCGGTCCGTCCCGCCTCTGCTCCCTGCTGTCATGCATATATACGTGTGTTTGTGCATGCTTACCTCCGTTTCTTCGGACATTACAGATCAATTTTGTTGTGACCTGTGGGTGCCGACTTGCCCTTGTTTGGGGCCAGAGCTCAAGGCCAGGCTATTGGGCATGGTTTCATAGAATCTTACATCTACGTAATAATTCACTGGGAGGCGTCCCTCCATGGCGGTGTCGGCGGCTTTTCGCATGGAGCAGCAGCTGCTACTCGAGGAGCAGATTCTACATGGAGTGTGTATGTCGTTTGTATGTATAATAATTCATGATGGATGGCAGGACTTCATGAACACATGGATTACTCAAGATCCGAACTATCTTCTGAATGTGAGGAAGAAAAAGGACAGGCTTTCAATGCTTGTTTTCAGCTTCTGTGTGCTTGTACTTTTAAATTCATCGATGGACATGTAGGATCGCAACCTTTTGAACATCCCGAGCTCCGGTGTCTCTTCGGCGGAAATGGCCGGGTGATTGATTTCCTGCTAGCTGCATGCATGCATGCAGTATCGAACTTCCGATTCCATTGAACAACCCCTGCAGTTGGAAGTCAACTTTACCTTCATGTGCAACTACCTGGCTACCGTGGACTGCCACCTCCCGCTCTTCTCCACTCACAAGGACCAGTGAGCTCAGTGCATGTAACGACATTGTGTTGGTGAGCCCTCACCCCTCGCCTGTAGGCCGTGCTTGTAACGATGGCGAAACGGTATTGCATACTGCCGCAAAACAGCCGTCGCAAGCTTATCCGCGCCTTTTGTCGGCAGATGATGTATTGTCGTCGGGTTTTGCTTTTGTGCAGATTCTTGGAAAATCTTGCCGGCTATGTGTTGAGGCTTGGGCTGCGGCGGAAGCCGCAGCCATTCGGGGCATGGCCGTGCATGCTTTGCTGTTGGCTCGGCGGTCTGCTGGGTCAAAGTGTCTTGCCTGGAGTTATGTTCCACACCCGCACAAATGCATACACACATACATGTACACTTTCACATGTACACAATGTGCCAACACACTATATACATAAAGAAAAGTCGCTACCATCATCAGATCAGGGGTTCGAGGTCGATGGCATTCGCCTACTTATGAAACTAGCTGCCTTATAACCCCCCCCCACCCCAAAACCGATCGTAAAGCAGTCATATACATTACTATAGTAGTGTCCGGGTGCAGAGTGGGTTTAAATCCGAGGTCGGGCAAGATCCGAATTCTCAAGGAGCTCATCGTCACGTCGCTGGGAAGCGGTGCCTAGACTTAATATTATGTATATATATATATATATATTATAGATATATATTCGAAGCTTAATATATATATATATATATATATATATGTATATATATATATATGCCCAAACCTAGGTGGTAGTGATCCGGATGATGCCATCCTCGCCGAGATTCAGGCTTCGGCCCTCGATCGAACGAGTTTGCAGGACTGCTAACATATGATGTACCGTTAAGTCAGTGCTGCAGCTGCACTGACAGCGACATTTTTTTTGATTCCGCTTCAGGATTCGAGCTCGGCAGAATCCGCGGCTTCTACGCCACCCTCGGATGGCGAGAAAATCCTGGAGCACTTGGAGCTGGTCAGCTGGCGAAATTATCTGTTTTATCTCGATATGCCCTCCCGTACAGCTAGAGCATTGCAGCTTCAAGTCATCTTCCGAGCCGCAGCTGTAACTAACTTAACTATATATAGTTCGAAACCTGATCAAGCCCCAGCTGTAACTAACCAATTAACTATAGTTCGAAACCTGAAGCCCCAAACTCAAAACCCCATGGCTCTAAGGCTTAACTAGACACCAAAAAACAATAATTCATGGGTCGCCCTCGGTAAGGACCTGAGCCCCCGCAGCACTGCAGTACTTTAACATCGGTTTATGGACACGGGTCTTCTGATTTAGAGATTTGGGGTGTGGCTACTGCTAGGGATCAGGGTTCGAATTTGGGCTTTGCTTTT